ACCAAGGTGCTACAAGACAAGTTAGTGCAAAAAAATATATATATATAATATATTTAGTAATAATATTGTGCAAAAGAGCATTTACAGGTTGGTGTGTGCGATGGTTTGGTGGTGTAGGTCAGTGTGTTTGCGCTTTGTGTTGGTTAGTCAGTCCAGTCTCAATGTTTTGAGGTATTTGAGTTAAGCTGAGTGATAATGTTAGTGTATGTGTGTGTGTGCGTGTTTATCAGTCAGTCCCTTTTTGCTGAGGAGACGGATGGCTTGTGGAAAAAAGCTGTTGCACAGTCTGGATGTGCGTGCCCGAATGCTTCGGTACCTTTTTCCAGATGGCAGGAGTGTAAAGAGTGTGTGAGAGGGGTGTGTCCGATCAGCCATAATGCTGGTGGCTTTGCGAATGCAGCGTGTGGTGTAGATGTCCTCAATAGAGGGTAGAGAGACCCCGATGATCTTCTCTGCTGTTCCCACTATCCGCTGTCTTGCGGTCTGATATGGCACAGCTCCCAAACCAGACAGTGATGCAGCCGCTCAGGATGCTCTCAATAGTTCCTCTATAGAAGGTGGTCAGGATCGGTGGTGGAAGCATAATAACATAATTTAAGTTTGATGAGTTTAACTGCAAAGCAGATAATGCTATTAAACATTGAAATAAAGTAGAAAAACTTACTTTTTGCCATACAAATGACTTTTTTTCGTGTTAAATTGTCTGTGTTTGACAAAATGTGCTGATTTTTCACATGTGATAGCAGAACTGAGTTGGGCATGTACAGGATGAGTCACATCATTTGAAACTTAGCCCTGATTGGAGAAATTGGAAGTGTTACAACTGACCCACGTTACAACTATCCCCGGTCTCCCCTACTTTAATATTAACTTGGCCCGACCAGTGAAAATACCCTTTCTGTCAGTGTGAAGAAGCCTTACTTATATTTTTTTCTCAACATAAGAAAAAAAGTCCAATTTCAAAGGAGTTTTTCTAATTGCTAAAAAAAAAAAAAAAAAAAAATCCAATGTAATGAATAAAATAAATACATAAAATAATTCTGTCAGCACAATTAAATTGTATGAAATAAACATGTAAAATCAGAGAAAAAGTTCTGGTAAGCCATTGTCGTCGTTTTTGTTAATCACCAGAAAATGTCCTACTTTATTTGCACATTTATTTATTTTACTGTGGATATATTGTTAGGAAATAATAATAAAAATAAATAAATAAAAATGAAAACAAAAATCTATCTATATTAGATAATGAAAAAACAGGAACGTTTCTGTCATTTAATTAAATCTACTGTATAACTTTACTTCTGGTGTAATATGAATGGCTGTAAGGGATTCCTTTATCAGGACAAGCTGTAAAGATTATGAAAATATATGTGAATGTGTAAAATTGATTCCCGCCTTTACATTTTCCAAAGCTGTGGTCTGGGTCAGATTAAAGTGTTTTCTGGGCGATTCTGAAAGGTCAAATGCACTGCAACTTAAAAAGTTGCAGAAGCACATAAAATACATCAGAAAGAGAAAATAAAACACCACAAAAGCACACATACAAAAAAAGAAAACTCACAAAACATAACTGTTCCATGATTTGGGTGAGACAATATTGTGAGGGAGCAGTCATAGGACAGTGAACTAACAGTAAAGGTTAATACCAAACATGTATATACAGTTTGAAATGAACCATGCAGTTAAAAAACACATCACCTGCATCTTTTTCTTCCCCACTACACAGATAAATGCTCAGTTCTTTCAAGCGTGCCTGAGGGCAGTTCTTCACAGCTGCCACATTATTGTCTTTCTTTGTGTTTTGTGTGTTTTTGCAACATTTTCCTATTTGCTGGTATTTTCTTAAGTTGCAGTCCAGAGCCTTATGTTTACACCTCTGTCATATGCCAACACTTTTTTTTCTTTGCAAAAGATTAAAAAAGACAACAACAAAAAACTTTAGAGATATTTACAGGCTCCATGCAACAATATATAATTAGAAAATATGCCACATGTCCTCCCTATCCTATTACCTTCAAGGGTGGCTGATATAATAAACCCTTCTCTCATTTCCTATATACAGTTCGTTATATTGTTATAAGTATTGTTATATACAAATACTGAAATATAATAATAATAATAATAGTAAATTAAACTTTTTGTTAATTCATTCAGCAAATACTCATGTACTGTTACATGAGCCAAAACTTTCGCAATACAATTTTATTTGCTCTCCTTCCAGCTCGTGGTGACCACACTGAGCACACAGTGAAATCATTTAACCTGAAGTGACTCTTTGTGACGTAACAGTGATATTTATAAATATTTCTCTTGAGTTGTGGACCCTTGTTGTTTGTTGCCTATTCCATTATCATAATAATTTTGAAATATGGTTTATTTAGTAGCGCTTCTGCTTCTCTGAGGAGGAATATCTTAATTTCTAAAGCATCTAAACACCAGTTAAGTGATGTTTAAAGAAAACAAGCATCAAGACTGATAATGGGTTTGAATATGGAAACATTGGGGTAAATACAAATGTTTGCAAATGTCCTTGAGACCACAGAAGAAGCTTGGCAGATGAAAAATGAATCAAAAAACTCAAGGGTACAGAGAGCCGGGGAACACTGGGAAGTGAACCAGCAAACAAAACAAAGTGATAGCAGGGGACACCACCACCACTGTAAGTCAGATGAGAAACGGCTGGGGAGTAATCATGAGGCCGTATGCCGAGGGATCACTCAGGTGATGTAGGTCAACAACAGATCTCTTAGTCACACCTAAGAGACGTACAATCCCACATCTCATGGTTAACCTGTATACTTACAACCAAATGTCATGATTCATAGATGGATGCACTTTGAGATGCAGATGTTGGCCCTGCAGCAGCATTTAGGACCAAATTAGGTTAAATTACAACATGAAACTGCTCGCAGTCTTGACCAAAACTAGCAAAAAGTGATTCAATGTTAACCTCAGAGGATTGTGCAACATAACAGGTTTCACACTGACAGTAAATTCTAGTTTAGAGTAAGTCACAGTTGTTTATATTAGACACTTTACCAGCAACTCTTGTCGAAGACAGGAACGGGTACATAAACAATGTGTACATCCACTTTGGGCAGACAGTAAGAGACATACACAGTCTGGTAGGTGGAGCAGCTGAAGTTCCTGGTGCTGAGACAGGACAAGAAGTGCTTGGTGATGGATTTCAGCAGCGGTTTCATGTTGACCTCCATCCACATCTTGAACAGATCTTGATTCAAACTCCAGGCCTCAAGGGGCGGTGTCCTGCAGGTTTTAGATGTGTCCTTGATCCAATACAGCTGATTTAAATGGCTAAATTACCCCCTCAACATGTCTTGAAGTTCTCCAAGCACTGGTAATGAACTAATCATTTGATTCAGGTGTGTTGACCCAGGGTGATATGTAAAACCTTCAGGACACCAGCCCTCGAGGCCTGGAGTTCGACACCCTGCTGCAGAGGGACTGCTGCCAAGTCTAATTCCCTCCACACTCAACACTGTCCCGACAGTCATGCTTGATGTCTGTGGCAGCAGTGAAGGAGAGGCTTTATTCATGTGTTTCACCAAAAAGCTAATCAGCATTCATATGGTTACATATAACCTAATGTTTAGAGCAGTAAGTTAGCATATCATGGGGTGGAAAATATCCATGTTGTGACACAGCAAAAAAAAAAGAAGGAGAAGAAAAACTCATTGTATCCCTCACTGGTCTTCTGAAGAAAGCTTGTTGAATTCATACCATAAATGATGCACGTGTCTGTTGTGTTCAAGAAAAACAAGTTCAAGATAGCATCTGGGACCTTCAAATTTATGACAAGTGGAAAAGTTAAATGGGAAGAAAAAAAGAAACTTACGGGAGAGCTGAACATGACCTGAAAGCAATGTGTTAATTAACCCTAACATCTGACTGTGATTCATTAAATAAATAGCCCAATGCCTCCCAAACATCCATGAATATCAATAGCCATGTTCTTTTCATAAGTAGCTAGAGAGATGTAATACGATACACTGAAAACAAACAATGTGCATAAACAAACCGTCAACTTTAAGAGGAGCAATAAGACTTGTCATACACCAGCGAGTGTGAGTTAGGATTGTTTTTCTTGAAGTGCTCAAGAGTGTGTCACTCACAGATGAACTGCGGACAGATTTGTGAGGCTGTCTAAAGGTTCTCATATGTCCTTAATAATGAACTAATGTTAACTCGCCGTTAATTCACCGGCTTAAATTAGTACATCTGGACATCACGTTGTAATAAGAACCTGGTGCGTGACATCAAAAGTAGTTCAAGGTTGCGTTGCGTGTGTGAAAATGGCTTGATTATAGTGAGACAAAAAGGTAATGGAGACGTGCCGTGATTTCTTCTCCTTTTTCATATTGTGAAATAACTTTGAAGTATGTTCTCACTGCACCCGTCGGACACCATTTTTCCTGAATCGATTCACTCTGGTAAAACCTGTATTCATTTCTCTTTTCAGCCAGAGCAGCAAACCAGTTTAACTGGATCTGCGTGTGCATGCCATGCTGTGTACGTGTTTATGATAACAGGCAAATGAAGCCTCTCAAAACCCAAAATAACTTGTTTTCAAAATGATTGGACGCAGCATTTACTGTAGATATGTTGATTTTACAGAGCGAACGACAAAAGTTACTAAATGACAGAGGAAAGCCTGAAGACTGACAAAATCTCTTTTTCATCATTGGGAAAAAAGTCAGTCTTTATTTTGGTGTCTACAACAAGTTGCCAAGAAATCCAAAAAACAAAGTGGAAGTGCAACCTGCTATTCAGAAATAACTTTATGCTGTATGTCTCTTGCTCCACTTTATACACACATTCACAGACAAAGCAGCAGATTCCTTGCCGTCATCTACATAAAAGCTCTGATTACAATATGATACACTCCTACAAAAAAAGAAAAAGGGCCAGCCCTCTTGAGCAACAGGTAGGATTCAGCCATCATCACCGGTGTCACAGTCACAAGGAAACACACCCTTCACTCGTGCGCCGGTGCCTCCAGTGTCAGAAGACAGTGTTTAACAGAGGCGATTTACAAGACCTGAACAACTCTACCTACAGACGTGATCTGGTAAGAAATCTGGCTTTGATTTGATTTGCTGTTTTATCATTTTAAGTTCCTACTCAGCCTTGAAACTCCATCAAAAGGACATATTGCTCATTTTAAAGCTTATCACAGACTTAACTCATAGATCTACTTCTATTCAAGAGATGTTTTTAATCACTGCTGCATGTAGGCTTGTTATTCAGTAGCAAACAGACGCAGACAAAGCAGAAAATCCCTTCAGCTCATAATAATCTGGTCTTTCTTGCCCTGCGAGGGTTTACCTCCAGTGACAACGCGCTATTTGCGGATTGCATGCATGGGAATAACAGCTACCTTATTAAACCAAGAGTCTTCAGGTTGGTGTGTTATCCTCGAAGAAATGGCATCACTGTGCTCTTTACAGTGGTACCAATAAAAAATATGACTTTCTAAAGGAGATCAAAATATTTTACTCTTGTTCATAAGAAAATATACTACACTGAAAAATCTTTAAACACAGAAGCAGGAAAATATTAAATTCAAAGTGCATACAGCAAATAGTACAAGTTATTACACGTCTATAAGTAAAGCATAAAAAATAAAGTACTTCTTATATTTACTTATTTTTACTCGAACATAAAAGGCGTCTTTAGCGGGGATGGCTTGTTTTATTTTTTTCACGTTTTCTTATTCTCTATTTTATTCTCCACAAACTGACAGTTCAGATGACTGCCAGTAACAATGCAGTACTATTTGCTTTATATATCTCAAGCTAAAATTTAGAAAAACAACAACTCTGAAATGTCATTTTTTATATATATATATTACATGTGTTTATTTTGAAATGTTTGCAAATTTGGCTATGCTGTGTAACCAGCATTAAAAGTACTAAAGTTTTCCAACACGTTCTGTCTTTGAAAATGGCAAATTATTCACAAAGTGTCTCAGTGGTGTTGGTCTTTCATCCGACAGGCGTACAAAGGGCCGAGGAGGAGGAGGACTGATACTGAGCAAACATTTTAACCTTAAATAATTATTTGTTCTCGCTGTTGCAACATATGATGAGGCATAAACAGGGCGAGAGTTTTGGGGGGAGCCGATGTGTAAAATATTTGTATGATAAGAACTGCACAATTTATCTATAACATTATAGGTTTTTCTCTTCTTTTAGTAAATGATTACATTTTGACTGTTGCTGGATTAGAAATGGTCATTGTGTGTGGCATAAGTAAAAATCAAATTTGACCTCTTTTTTAAATTTTTTTTACAAAAGTCTTGTAAAATAAAAAATAACAGTTGAGGAAAAACTCAAAAAGCTAAATAAGTCATGTTGGTTTTGTATGTTTCGTGAGTGTGTGGCCGCTTTGTGGAAACAAACAAACCTCCCAAATGCAAATCAAAGCTGCTCCTTATAAAGTAATCACATGTATATTGATAAAGCTTTTGGTCACCATATCAAACCCCTTACAAAAGAATTGACGTGTAGGTGGAGGCCCATGTTTGGTTTGAGTGACTAACGTGTAAAGGAGCAGCATTTCAAGATACCAGCATGACTCTCAATATTGCGTGCGAGAATGTTTGTACTTCTTTATATGTTTCTCAAGGAACAGAAGCAAGTGCCTAACATTGTGACAATGGTGTCCACGGCCAAGCGTAACGATGAAGTCATCGGTGCATTGCGTGATTTCACTGTACTCAAACAAACGGACAGTTCTGTGAAAAGCAGCAGCAGCAGATTTGGATAAAGTTTTAGGTCATTTCTGAAGGAAAGTGCCACAAAAGTCAAAATTAGAAGGTTTGTTAAAGGAATCACTCTACTAGTGATGACAATTTGCAATGTGGTTTATGAGCAGGGTTATGTGAAGGTTATCTTTGTTTTCATTGTTATAAGCCGTGTGAGGCAGGGTTTCAGCATTCTTTCCACTAATGCTTCAGTTCTCCCATCATGCTTTAATGTCACTTTGTTATGGGTTACTTTAGGTGGCTGTATGTAAGACATCTAACAGCCACTCCCTGATTCCTTTCAGCCACTAAACACACAGGCATTCGAGTGAAAGGTCAGTAATAGACTGACTTTTCATTGTTTGCCTAAAAAGATTGGTTATATAATGTTTAAAGCTTTAGATGGCTTGAGCCACAAGCGGTTCGCCCCTAATTTGATGATGTCTGACCAAGATGTGATATATAGCACTTTGATACTGAGTGCCAGTTATTTAGACAGCCCGATCATTAATCCACCTGTTAGTTATGTGATGCCTGTAGTTCCTGTAATGCCTGGATGACTGTGTCAGCTGCTTTCTCTTCTTCTCTCCCCAGTGATTTTCAACACAAAGCCCTCACATCTCATGAGACTGGTTGCATTATGAGAGCTCGCTACCTGTTCCTATTGGTTTACCTACTGGGGAGCTCCTTTGGTAAGAGGAAGTTTTGTGTGTTTAATGTATATATGTATAAGAATCAGCAGCTCATTAAAAGGAAAGACCGGTGGCATGATTGGGGGAAAAATCTCCTAAACTGACAATAAAATCACATCATTACAAATGTTGTTGAGATATTTTCATGTCCCTTTATTCCCATGACCTATGAATCATAAGGAACATGACTATTGTAGCCCCACAAACATTACTCTGCTGCTGTAAATACGCACTAGAACAATAAATCTGCATTCATCCACACAAGCTTTATTTGCTCAGGTTCAGTTAATGTTGATTAAAATCTTGCCAGAGTGTGGAGGGAAAGTACTCAGCTGATGTGCTTTGCTGACACTCACATAAGACCAATGGCCATTTTGCCTTGGACAGTAGATTAAGAAACTTACACATGATACACTTTAAATACTATAATCTAAAATTAACGTATTAATATTTATAAGATAATATTAATACTTCTTTTTTTTAAAAACCCACTCGTGTTCAGGTGGCTCATGAACTTCTCGTAACTGTCAACTTTGCTTTTGATGCTTTTGATGATGACTACTTTCAGCTGTGGATTTATACATATTTGTTTTTTCATGACACCAGTATTTATTTAAGCCATGAATAATGAAAATGAGTCAAAATGGTGCAACAATGGTGCGGTTCATGGGTGTGTTTAGGTAGTTTCTAGACAACAATAACGGGCTTAAGCAGATAAATAACAATGGGTTATTTCTTAGAATCAATTCTTACCACTGGTTTTACAGAAAATGTTTTTATCCTTTTACTGTTTATATTTTATGCTTTGTAAGGTGGCCTTGGGCTTTAGAAAGGTGTCCAGAAACCAAATTATTATTATTAATATTATTATTGTTATTACAAAACCAGAAACATTTTGACCAAATATTATTTCAGCAGCACAATTTTAAAGCTACGTGTACCTTCTTGGTCATTTTGTGACATCTTCTCCCATATATGATGCCAGTATTGTTGACAGTTTCAACACTTCTCTGTAACCAGTCTCTTAGAATAGAATAGGAGCTTCTTTTTAGCATCAGCATTTTAATAATATACACTCGAGAGAGAGAAAAAAGCATTTTACTATTACAAATATACAAATCCGGGTGGTTTTTGATGCCCTTCTACAACCTCATTAAACAACAAGCTGGGACTTTGTGTAAAATTGTAACTGAGAGGTGTGGATTGTATGCTTCTGAAAAACTCAAACCAAATCATTTATACTAAATCATGTCACTAATTAGCCCCACACAGCCTTTAAATCAGCAATTTAAAAAACAAGAAAAGAGTTTAAACATTTGGTATGCTATTTCCTGGCTAATTTTGCATTAAAAATAGGACTTAAATAATTTCCAAACTCTGCTGCTTAAACAAGTTTTGGGGAAATGCATTGGTAAGATTCAGCTCTAACATGCAACTCTGTCTTATCCCAACAGCAGGATCCAGTGCACAGAGGTAAGATCAGGACACAGAAACAGACATAATATTTACACTTGTAAATTTTACACTCTTCTAAATGCAATAACCTGTATAATCTTTATTTTCTGTAATTGGTGGATCGTGCAGTAATGGAGTATGCACAAAAGATGCCTGCACACAGGTTAGTGTAACTGTAGCACAACACAACACAAAGCTACAAGTACAAACGTCATATTGTTATTGCTTTCTATTCTTTTAAAACATTTTTTCATGCAACATATGCAAACAGTCAGTATGGCTAGGATATTATTTCGTTAGCGTGGTTGTGAGATCACAGGTACCGTCATGAGATTCTTGTTATGACTAAAGTTGTCAAACTGCCCAAAACGCATACCAAAAAGATCAAGATTAGCTCATGACCTGTTCACATCGTTTTTTTCACTGAGCTTGATTAAATACTTTTGAAGAGTGACTGTGAAAACACTGGGTAGTGCACTGGTGTGGGTAAACATGTCAAACAATAGATTTCCCAGTATTTGATGCGAGTATGGCGAAATGCTTTATCACGTTAAGAAGATGAAAGATTATGTTTCATGACAAATATTTTCAATATTAAAGATTTTTCTTTAATATTGAAAATATTTTTCTGTGTTATCTATGAATACATTTTATTTCGGAATTAAATCACTTCTACTTTAATAACTTTTATTTTGTGACATATCCTGTTTTAAGAGCATTAAGCAAATGTTGTAAAAAGATTAATTTAGCTAGCTAGCAGCTAAATTAACAACACCTACCTTATTATAAGAACAGGAGACAGTTTAGAAATTAATTCAAGTGGCATAAATCTCACAGCATAGCATAATATTGTTCCGATTTGTAGTGTCAGCCCAAAGTTCGCTAAGATATGCATCTGAACAAAATCTCCCCTGGGCAACTGGAAACAAACTAAGTGCTGTTTATATGTGTATATGTATATAACAACGATCAGCATAGAATCAACACACCTAAATCAGATACACTTGCCATAAAAACTGCGTCATCTATGGTGTGAACCTGTTGTTTAAACTAAATGACAACAGTAACTTCAGGACTTCTGACATAGTCACATTTAAAAACAAACTCTTTATATATCTTGCTATAATAATTCAGATCATTTTTATTGTCTTATTTTATTATTTTTTATTTTAACAGTTATTTCACATAATAAGGCCTTCAGTGTGGTGCTGTGGTGTTTTAAACAATGATGTTTTTATTGTTATTCTTTATGCTGCTGCCATAATACAGCAATTTCCTTTGTGGGATCAGTAAAGTATTCATATGTACAACTATATGAGAGGAATTATTAATCATGTAACCAGGCAATCAGTGTAATAAATCACAATCAGGCACAATTAATCTCATTGCTTTTGCTTTTTAGTTATTGAAATATTATTTTTGTTTTTGGTTTCCATCTTAGTAATTTTTCCACTTGTCATAAATTTCAAGGTCCCAGACGCCACCTCGAACTTCTTACAGTGTGTGGGCCTGCCTTCGACAGACACGGGCGCAGATGAAATGCGAAAGCTGAAAGGAATTCTTGAAGCCACAATGGATGTGTACACGTTTATGGTATGACTTCAACAAGCATTCAGCAGAAGAACAGATGTTACAAATTCCAGTATGACCAGTCAGGGATGGACTAAGTTTGTTTTTTTATTCTGTCACAACACTGACATTATTTGTTGGTCACTAACTTATAAATCCTGTTGACAGTAGGTTTCATGTAAGCAGATGAATGCTGAGTAGCTTATTGGTGAAACATGTGAGTATAAAGCCTCTCCATCACTGTTGCCACAGAAATCAAGCATGACAAGAGGACCAATTTTGAGTGTGGAGGGCGCTCTGGAATTAGACTTGACTGCAGACGCTCTACAAAATCAAGATCTGGTCAGGATGTGGTTGGAGGTCAACATGAAACCGCTCCTGAAATCCATCACCAAGCAGTTCTTGTCCTGTCTCAGCACCAGGAACTTCAGCTGCTCCACCTACCAGACTGTGTAGGCCTCTTACTGTCCTCATCTTTATTTCTGTAATTTTGAGATTTTAGTATAATAATCCAACATCCCACGTCTCCTCGCAGAGTGGAGGAGCTCAGTCAACACTATTCTGAGATGGATCCAGTCAGGCAAAAGTGGATCTACACATTCTTTATGTACCCGTTCCTGTCTTCGGCAACAGTTGATGGTAACGTGTCTAATACCAATAACTTTTTCTTCCTATAAACTAGACTTTACTTTCAGTACAAATATGTCACACGGTATTGTGAGGTTAGCATTTAATCACTCTTTGCAAGTTAAGGTCAAAAATAGAAACTGTTTCACATTCATATTCCAGCTAAACCTTAATTTATCGTAACTGCTGCTATAGGCCTAAGCGCTGCATTGTGCATGTGTTATCAAAATTGTACTTACACAGGTTATCAAAGTGTTATCTAATAGCTGTTAAAGTACTGCAAGCAGATTTGGAAATGACCGTGTGCCGGGAAATGTATCTGTATCGCCTTTCAGACACTCACACCGTGGCCCTTTACATGAAAGTTACAGTGCCAGTCTTTGTAGATCAAACATGTTAACATCATCTTAATATTTACATATTTACAACTCAAAGGCATGCAATGGTATTTCCTACAACTTTTTTCTAGAAGTGTCTCTCATTATCATGTGACCCTCAACAACTCTTTCACAAGCAACAAAGTTGCTTCTTGCTTGTACTGGCATGGAGACAGCACAGCACACAGCTAAGCATCTAATCATTTACTGAGGTTTGCTAAACGGTGTGTGGATGTGTTCAAAACAACAAATAAATAGGTTTTCTCAAAAGTTTTGAATGTTTCTGTACCAAATTAGCAGCTGTCACTAACTGAAGGTGCCAACGATGTTATAAATGTCATTCATGCAAAAAGCCTGTTTGCATAATAACGTCCAAATAAGCCTCTTGCAACAACTTGTGTTACTTTCTTGAGGTCTTTATTTGGTGGGTTTTGAGGTATTAAACAACATTTGTAGACAGAAAAAACAAATAGAAATAGCTTTTAAAGTGTTTAAAGGCTTTGATAAAAAAAAAAGGAGGCACCAAACTTACTAGATTTGGAGCAGTCACAAACACAAAAACCCCGACAGGGAACACTGTGCAGGGAATGGGGTGGGGATTGCATTCTTCTGTGACAAAGAGGAAAATCATTGTCCAGAAGTTAAACAACACAGGACAGGGTCAAAGTGCAGCTAGGGCTAATAATGTGTTTTGTTCTTAATTAAGTTATTTGGGTTTTTAAAATGGATAAAATCAAATTTAAAAGAAGAAGCAAAGTTCTCATGTTAGACAATAAAGCATCAGAACAAATCAAGTGCTATGTTTTACTAAAATATGTTTGCAGTTTTTATCTTTGACAATCTGCATTTGTCTGCAGACAGACTGAAATTCATTAAGTCACAATTAAAGCTTCAGTTTGTTCAAATGTTGGAGCTAACTGCTAGTATGTACACAGTCGGTCAATGTGTGATCTGTGTGCAGGCTGTGTGAGGCCAGATGAGGGCAGTGCGGAGTGGCTGATGAAGAACTTTGGTGCCTTCAGTGTCATGGCCCGCTTGAAGGACTTTTCAGAGCTCAATGAGGTCTTCAATGGAGTGAGTTAAACTGAGCCTTAATTAAGATTTTATGAATTTTATACAGCTGTTTTTATGGCAATCTGGACACTACAGAGAACTCCACCACAACAAATATCGCTGCTCCACACTTCTTCCTGTTCTTCTTCTCTTACTCCTTTTTTTTCTTCATTCACAGCTGGAGGTTCTTAACTTGTTGTCTCCAGCACAAAAGGCCGAGCTGCTCATGAGCCCTTATGTTGCCAGTTTAGACAATGGCACATTAGCCTTGGTCTTCCACAGTCTGCTAACAGGGGAATCTGGCCCATCACCCACTGCTGGCCCTGGATGGGGCCCCAACTGGACAACCCCTGGGTACCCACCCTCCTATCCAGTACAGCTGTCACATCAGCCAGGCCTCCAACAGGTACAGTAACAGAGTGCGCATCCACCTGCAAAAATAATTGAAGATGTTTTCATCTCTAGAAAAAATATTCATAAAAAATTTAATTCAGTAAAATTTAACAGCCTCTGCTTCATTGCACATCCAGGTCGTAAATGGATTCATGTCAGCCTTCAAACCCATCGGGAGCTTTGTTCATAATTTTGTGTCCTTCACACGTGAGGTACACAAACACACGCGCACACTCATGTGTTGCCACTCTCTAAGCTGTCTAAACAGCTCTACAGCCAGTTAGAAAAAATGACCCCTGACCTGTTTTTTCCAGAGAAATCCGTCAAATATAAGAAGCACCACTTTGACCCAGTTCCTGCTCAACTGGACTCTTTCTGAGCTGGCTGGCAAATACCAGCCAAGCGCACCTGAGGTCCCAGAGGGACCTAACTTTGATGTGACAAATGTAGTAGACTGGTATCATTACGTTGTGAAGCCGCTGTTACGGAGGTTTTTGCCCGATGAAGAACTCCTGATGCATGAAAACATCACGCTCGCTTTCCACGAAGTGTTGTAAGTCGGAATTCCTCATTTACATTAATGGTTTCCATTGAAAATAGGAAAACTATCAATAATGCATCAGTGATGTAGACACATCAGCGGCTCTAAAGCTCTATCCAGCAACGCTCTGTTAAGCCTGTTTTAGCTTGTTTTTTTGGTTTGCTATGCTGTATAGTGACCCCATTCTCTTTGCTGTGCTTTTAAAAGCTCAATTTCTTCTTACGTATTAGTGCAGACTGAAATTAAGCTAAGAGTGGTATTAGAAAGCCAGTCTGCAACTAAAACAAATCTTTAAATAAATACCACAGTAATTAGCAGTCAGAGGCTTTAGCACCATTTAGGAATGATTATTTTTCTAATTAAGTAATTATCTGGTTTCAAAATGTGAGGAGAAATATACATAAGAGCATCTCATAGTCACTCAAGGTCAGAAGAAATTCACTAAGTCAGTGTTACAATTTGCAGTTTTACGTTCCTTGTAGAACCTTCGTACTTGTCACTCTTTGAGGAACTTTTGTCAATTTCACATGTGCTAGAACACCTTTTAAAATGTGTCTGTTTGCCAGCATGGTCAGTGTGAACGTTGCTGTGCTGTAAGATGATGCATCACTATGTCTTTTGTGTTCAAGCGTGTTCTTTACTTTTGTGCAGCCGTCTGGACAACAGTATGGACAACATGACGGTGATTGAAATCCAGGATGTCTGTAGCATCACCCTCGATAAGAGCCCTTGCGGGGTGAGGTTTTATTTACCTTTGATTATTGACACTCGAATGTTTTGAATTCTTCACTTAAATTCCTGACATATAAAAAAAAATTGAATGTCAAAAGTTTTTCTAACTTCTGTGCCGATGATTTTTCTTTCCGTGCCGTCAGCTGACCGACGCGGTGGCAAACGTGGCTCATGTCTTGCACTGCGCTGCTCGTAACAACCTGACCATGACAGAAGCCGTCGTCTTGAAGCTGGTTCTAGAGCTGACTCAACGTCTGAACTTGCTGATCAAGGAGCTCTCCACAGCAGTGAGTACTGTCCAACAGCTCCACGGTGACTTATAGCTTCACAACATTGCTTTCATAGGCTTGTGTTTTCACTACACACATTGCAGCTTCAGCAAATCAATGCTTCCTCGTTCTTCATCCTCTGTAGAACTTCACGCAGTTGGAATCCGAGTTTAAGCAGATCTTCAGCGAGTCAAACTCAGCAACTCTGACCCAGGAGCACCTGACGGACCCAGCTTTCATCCAGCTCTGGTTCAAGGTCAAGCTGCTGCCCCTCCTGCCCGACGTACAGCCAGAGCTCCTCTCCTGCCTCAGCACCAAGAACTTTTCTTGCCCCGTTTACCAAACCCTGTGAGTCAACCGTTTTCATTTCTCTTTCATTTAACGAGAACGTGGTTTGGTGCAGTCGTTCTCACTTTGTCTTTGCCCTGCTGTGTGCAGTGTGGCGGCGCTCAGTGAACGCATGAACTTTTTGGATGCTGATCCGATGTACAGCAGCAACATCTACGAGTACTTCATCTACCCCTTCCTGCTAAATCACAACACCTCGGGTAAGAAGAGGACACAGACAACACAGATTAACACACAGATACTACAAAACCAGTTCCTTTGGCATTTATGTTAATGTTTGTACAAATGCTTCAGACCCCCAGTGTGTCTCTGCAGTTAATAACAGCGCAGAATGGCTGCAACTCAACTTTGGTTTCTTCTCGAGCTTTGCCTCTATCTTCGACTTCTACGCACTCAACCCTTATTTCTCTGGAGTAAGTTTGCAAAACACAGATGTGCTCAGACTTAACAGAAGCAGTAATTTTACTATGCAGTAATTGTGCTCTCCTCTTCTGCTTTGTAACCCACTCAGCTGGAGGCTCTTGACCTCCTGACTCCAAATCAGATGGTAGAGTTGCTGCTGTTGACTCTCCCAACTCCACCAGAGAAAGACGTTGTCATCAGCCAAGTGTTTAACTTCCTGACGGAGTCACCTGCAGCCAGGAAGTACCCAGAGGTCCTCAGCGCTTTGGTCAGGCTCGCTGGAGAGGTAACAGCTTTGGCTGAGATGTGTACACAGCAAAATCTCCCGTGTTAAATTAACACTAGAGAGTGTACTGGAATATTTCTAACATTTTGAGTTATTTTCCAGTGTTAGAACATCAGCACTGCTCGGTGTTAGTCATTGTTAATCTTCAAAACTGACTAGGTTACTTTTAAACATATAACACTGTCAAAAGTGTTAATTTAACACTCAACAGTGTTGTATTTAACACCCAGAGGAGTGGACCCATATAGACACTCTCCAGTGATAATTTAACACTGGAGATTTTGCTGTGATAGGTGTTGAGCATGCTTTAGCCTTTCTCAAATATTAATCATAAAATATGCAATTTTTCAGATCAATCCTTCCTGCGACATCTACAAACAAATGTGAGTAACTTTAACCGGTTTTCTGACTAAATGAGCCTCACAATTCTTTCCAAGCTGTTTTGTTCAGTGAATCAGGAGAACTCTCTCACTGCAGACTATACCTGCAACCATGTTCAAGCTAAGGCTTCGTAGCAATGCATTAATGGCTAAAACTGAACCACTGCTATTGCTATTATTAATTCAGAAATGAAAAGAGAAAGAAATGAGATTACAATATACATTGTGGCATTAATATAGCTTATTAACTGGATTAATACAGGATAATGTAGAAAATTAATTACATGACAGGTAGTCATTTTTAATGCAGATTTAATTTCAGCTTTCAATAGTGGACATCACAAAAACAAGGTCTGAAGGTCTGATTGGGTAGCTCTCTATATACTCTTTATTTACATGTGTGTTTTGTGTTCTTTTGTATTCCAGCTTTACACAGCTCTATGCAGCCATACCATCTCTGCCTCCAGAAATGGAACCAGTCACCTGGGCCACTATAGAAGCCCTGATAAACATTGCACCTGTCGGTACGTTTCACTGCCTCACAAACACAAAGACAAAAAACGACTGAGTGCACAATGTAATGGCTTAAGCTAGTCCATGTAAGTAGACCTAAACCTGTGCTTTTGCTGACTGAATATTTTTTATTTTCTGATTTGGACAGAGTGCGTGCCGGCGAACCTCAGGGTGAGATTTTTTCTTCTATACAATTTAGTTTAAATCCTAACAAATCACAACAACTGTTGTCTTTTCTGCTCATATCACATCTTAATTTGAATGCTCTTAAGCTGTGGTTGTCACAACGGTTTGAATAATATTTCAATCATTGTTTTAATTTGTTAATCCCGTCTTTTACAGTGCCCGGTAATCCCGCTCAATGGTAAGACTTTTTTTGACTGTTGCCAGCGTAAACACTAATACATTCTGTTTGTATGATTTCTGAAAAGAAATAATTTTCTGTTTTTTGACAGAAACTCAGAGCTGTGCAGGAGTCAACAGGTAACCCTTTTAATAGGATTTACATAGTAAGCAATGCTACTGCAGTTGTTTTCTATTCTGACGTGTATTTCCTGTCTTGTGTGACCCAAAGCTCTGATCTGCTGTCTTACTTGGACACCTTTAATCAAGTTCCCTGCAACGTCCCCTTGGAGGAATATGCCTGTGCACAGGTAATGATTTACTTTAACAGAGCCAGTGAGGACTCATTACTGTTTATTGCAGAGAATAACTACACGTCCTCTGTCTCTTTCACACATCCAGCTGGACAACTTCACAGCCAATCAACTGGCATCTCTTCTGATGTGTAATCTTTCTGGGAACAGCGCCCACTCCAAAACTCTGTGGAAAATCCTGCTCACTAAAGTCTCCAATGTTTTAAACCCAGCCCTGGACATCCTGGCTAACATGGTTAATGACTTTAATAAGCTTTAACAAACAAATAAGGATTCATGAAATGAATCATTCAAACACTAAGTTACAAGAATTGTGACCTGGGGAAAAGTTAATCCGCCTTTAAAATAACTCAATTATCTCTTGTTTAGCCGATGCCCGTGATTCCATCAGCGCCACAGGTCTTGGATGTGATTGGAGAGATCAGAGTGTCGCTGCTGACAGATGAGCAGCTGCAGAACAGCGAAGTTATCAGGTTGTGGTTCTCAGGCCGCCTGAGGAGCTTCTTGCCTTACGCATCAGGAATGTTTCTGCGCTGTCTCAGCAGCACAAACCTGACCTGTCAGTCATACCAGGAAATGTGAGTATTTGTCAGAATTGCTGCTGCACACGCCCAACAGCATGCATCCAGTGTGGTTCACAGTTCACGTTTTGATTTCCAAGATTCATCTGTGAAGATGAACCCTTCAGAGGATTTCTGCAATTAATATTTCTAAATTTGATCTGAACTTCATTCAGGTCTAGAATATTTCGTGTCGTATCCATTAATAAAAAAAAACTGTCAGCGAATGGAGTGTGGAGTTGTTAAAGAAAGACGCAAAGGGCATGGCAAATCATAGGGCATGGCAGAGAGAATTAATCTGCAAAAGTTCACAGTTTTACTTACAATGAAATCTCAGTTAGCTGTTAGTTTGCTATTTTTCATATTTAAGATGAGTAATTACATAAAAAAAAATCAGTCGTAAATGTAAGGAAGCGATAATAACGATTCATTATCAGATGAAAACAGTCTGGAAAATCACAAACAAGTCAGTAAAGCTGGCACATGGCATGAAAGTAAACCAACCTTCGCTGTAACATCAAGAACAAAAAGACAAGTAGGACAGGAAGTGCAGAAGGCACGCAGATGAGACTAAATTTTATTAGTTTCAGGTTGGCCATTCTTGTATTTTGCTCGTTTGTGTTGTTGTGTTTGCACATCTCTGTTGCTTGTGGGGCTCGCACACAAGAATTTCACTCGCATGTGCTGTGCCAGTGTGCCTGCACATGTGATGTGACAATAAAAGTGATTTGATTTGATTTGATTTGATTTGATTTGAAATCAAGAGTCGAAATACAACAATACAACAACGGTTGGTTTAGTCAAAAATCCAAAGGGTTCTCTGTTATATCCATGCAGTACAAATATAAATTTGTTTTTCAATTACAAAATGTTATTGGTTAGTTAGTTCTCTTTTTTTTTTCTTTTTGCCGTGATTTCATTTTCAGACTGCAGACGTTTATCAGCCAGTTTAACCAGATGACCTCAAACCAGCAGCAGTTGGTCTTGCAGGATTTCATACTGCAGTTCCTGACGCAGCCACGCTCAGGTACGCGCATGCTTCGTATTTTAATTTAACAACTAAAAAAATAAAATTAAAAATCAATCATTTACAGTTATTTCTACTTTTTCAAAACTTCTTCTAGATTCCAGCTGTGTGTCCACCTCCAACAGCACTGCAGTGTGGATACAGCAGAATTTCGGTCCATTTTCAGCACTTCTGTCGCTCACTGAGCTGATCCATCTCAACCCACAATTCAACCCTGTGAGATGGGACTTCGGTTAATTGACGCGATTTTAAAAAATACAAACAAACAAAGCTGGGAACTAATAGAAATAACTCTCACTTGTTTCGTATTTCCTTTTAGATTGAAGTCTTGACACTCCTGACTGCACAACAGAGCGCAGAGCTGCTGTCGCTGTCGCTTCCAAATCTGCCGGACAAAGCTGTCATCATCAACGCGCTCTTTGACTACCTGACCGTGTCTGCTGAAAAGAATAAATTCACAGAGTTCCTGACCAACCTCACCGTGTTCATTCACCCGGTAAAAAGAGCAGCTGCCTTCTTAAGTCATCATTTTTACTTTCCTGTGCTTGTTAAAGTAATGAATGATGTTTGCTTTCTTTCTCCTCCAAGGAAAACTTCACTTGCTCTTCATACAAAACGCTGTGAGTTTCACATCTACTTATACTCGGCACTTTTGAAGTGGTTAAACTTTTTTATATAATCTGGCACTATGATTAAAATCTGTGTGTTTACATGTTACAGGTTTGCCAGACTGGACTTGGCCATACCTGTGGTTTCTCTTGGCATTGTTGCAACTATCACACAGACTAAAGAGGCTCTATCCCACCAACTACCACCTGGTGAGTGTTACATCAACATAAAGATTTAGAACACTAATTCTCAAAGTCTTATATCCAGCTTTGTCTCTTCACTGTTTCATCTTATTCCACACACCACCTACTCTATGGACACGCTAAATGTAAATTGTCAATAATTAGCAAGCGTCAGGAATAACATCCAGTCTAACTGTAGCTTATTACTGAACTGATTTTTTTTTTAAATACATTAAACTGATTTGCATTTCCTGTGTTTTTATTTCAGACTGCATCATTGGAGAGGTAATTGTATGTTTTAGATTATTTGTTTTGTCTTACATTAGTCTTAATATAGTAGATTTGTAATGTGCTCTGTGTCTGTTTCTCTTACAAGTGTAATGTCAGCACGGCAAATGGTAAGTTCTCCACTTCTTTATGCATAAAAATGCAATTTTTTTTATTGTCAATTTATAACTTTTTTTTCTCCTTTTTTTGGTACAGAAACGGAAATCTGTATCGGTTTGAACAGGTAGGATTTACATGAACCTGTTGGAGAGTTTACTTTTTATGCAACGTTGTCCCAGATGTCAACAAAGTACCAATCACGTTTTATTTTGAAACCACAGAACAGCAGTTCAGCTCCAACTCACCAGTGCACAGACGAGCGGAAACCTCTGTGACTTGGCCGTTGAGCAACTGGCTTGTGCCTCGGTAAGAGCGTCACATAATCTTTTTTAATTTATTTATTTTTTTGCCTGTCCCATTTGGTTCTTTAGCCGTCAGAATTGTTGTCTGAAGACCAGCAAGGATACCCAACGGATTTACTTTGCCAAATGGATCATCACGGCCTTGCTGTATTGGTCCATTTGATCGACCTTTGTTGTTATCATTTATTTTATTTTATTTTCAGTTGTTACAGACGAGACAGACATGACTGAGGGATAGAAAAGGGAGAAAGAAAGATGAAGGAAAAGAAAAACAGAAGGGAAGAGGGACAGTGAGGAAGGGCTCTTAAAAAGAGAAAGAAGAGAAAAAAAATCTCCTGGATCACCTGTTGAGAGAAAAAGAAGAGAAAACAAGCAAAAAACCAGAGCAACATACTAAACACAACACCGTCACGTTAATCTAGCTAAGTGTAAACAGCAGTAAATACTAAATATTGAATGTTGTTGTGTAGCAAGCAGGACCGACAGCGCAAAATGTGCTTGGAAGTAGCAGCCAATAAAGGTGTAGTTTATGTCTATGAACAGTGGACACCCGCGTGGACACCTGTGTGGATCAGCGTGCTTGTATTCAAAAAGTTTGACTGTGAGTGAACCGAGCCGCAGGCCCAGAGGCCCGAGGCCCGAGGGCCCCTTTGCCCCGGAAGAGGCCTGACCAAGCAAAAAAAAAAAAAAAGCGTCACATAAGTCAACAGCCGTCTGTGATTCAGCTCGTTTTCACTTTCACTGTGGAGTCTAAACTGTTCTCTGTCGTCACGCAGCTGTCAACAATAACAGCAGAACAGCTGGCAATGATACTGAAGTGCAACCACTCCTCCAGCTCGAGTGGGTCCAAATCTGTCTGGAAACTTGTCCTCTCCGAAACCTCTCAGGTCCTGGACCAGGCTCTGGATCTGCTCGTCAACACGGTATGAAAGCATTACACAATATTTTGTAAGACGAGAAGAACCTTCTGCAAACCATCTGTTGTTGAAAGATAAGAAAAGTCAGTAGTTACATCACATTTTGATCTTTGTTATAGACTCTGGACGCCAACAACCCAGCAGTGTCCGTGATTCTGGACACCATACAAGAACTCCGAATAGATACTGTCAGCATGGCCACCCTCAATAATCTAACCTTCATCCAGACGTGGTTTGGCCGCCGCCTTCTCCCATTTCTGCCAGCTGTTTCACCTGACTTCCTTTCATGTATCTCCACAAAGAACCTGACTTGCAGCTCCTACCAGGCCATGTAAGAAATTAAGACCATAAAATTACATCAAATGTGACTGCCTTTCTTGGTATACCAAAAGCCTGCCATTTTTTAATTAATCTAATCCCAATTTCAATTCAGTCAGCAGATTTTGAGTCAACTCCGGCCACAATTGACGTTTGCCAGGCAGGTGTCTGTCTACACGCACTTCATTAAGGTTTTCCTGACCAGGGACAACAGCACAGGTACACTGCTGTATTACAGCCCAGTAACAATCAATGGCAGCCTATTAACAGTTACAGTCTATGTATTGTTCACGTCACATCTGAATTAATCCAACATTCACACATGTTGATAGAATTGGTGGGATTCAGGAATACAGTAATCCAGGGTGGTCACGTGTATTGCAAAGTGACATAACAATGTATGATAGATGCTTTTCCTTCAGCACAATAAAGCTGAATTTCCTCTGTGTGTGTTTGTGGTTCAGACCCCGCCTGCAGCTCAGGCATTGCCACCAGTGCACAATGGCTGCAGGTGAACATGGGAGGTTTTGCCTATCTTGCGACGTTCCAGGACATTCAGACGATCTACTCCAACTTCTCAGCGGTGCGTTATGATGCACTGCATTTTCTGTCTTTACATCTGTTTTCTTGTGGGGTGGGGTTTCCCTCTGTGATAACCACAACTGTCACTGACAACATGTGTGTTTGCATATGCAGATGGAAGCCTTGTCACAGCTCACGGTCAGACAGCTAGCCGAGGTGTCCACAACACCTGGCCAGCTCACAACTTCTGAGCAAGTCAACATGGTGATGAAATATGTGCCTGACCAGTCTCTGGCTGCCTTCTTTGATGATTTCTCATCTGTTCTCCTGGTGAGCATACATCATGTTATAAAGTCACCTGGTGTGTTTTGTTGATACTAGAGGTCAAGTCAAGCTGAGTTTATCTGTTCATCACATGTAAAACATTCATACGTTTTGTGTTTGTTTGCAATGATGGTAAACTCTAACATTTTTCTGGTTAGTCTTCTCACACAGAAGTTGAAGAAGGTCCTGTTACACCTGTTACATCTAAAAAACATGATTATTACTTTTGGTTTTTTCTACAGGCTCCTGAAGACGCATTGCCTTCAGTTGTGAGGTCAGCCATGTTGCAAGTTGTGTTTGATCGTGCAAACCTCTCCCTTCCTTCGATGAGTGATGCGGACGTAGAGGTGTGGCTTACCTCCCGGCTGCCACCCCTGCTGGTACAACTTTCACCAGGACAAGTTGCACCTTACTTCGGAATACTGGCAGGACGGAGCTGCAGCATTGAGCAGCTGGGGTGAGCACAAAGCTTCAAGCACCATATATGGAAGTATTTAAGCAATCTGACTGGAAATAAACCTTTGCATTTTTTTGTTTCAGTGTACTGAACCTGAACATGACTATCTCAACGCTCAGCACAGACACACAGCAGAAAATCTATGATCAAATCCTCCAGACCCTCGGAGGTAAAGCTAACCCAGGAAACCAGTAAACTCAGCTTTAATTTTTTTTTGTTGGATGCTTTATGAAATTGGGCTGTAACATTCCTGTAAGCGAGTAGCCCATTCACATTTCTTAACATAATGGCTGCCAGCCTTGTGAAAGTGAGAGAGGAGTCAGACATTGAGTTTTCTCCTATGCTCGCTCTTGTTATTTTTTCATTAAACATGTATGTTTGTCACATTTTATGTGAATACAACAACAAGTAAAACTTTATTTATTTATTTTATTCCAGATGGCTTAACAAAGCATGAGGCAAAGTTCCAATATTATAACCTAGTTTGTGTCTCCACCTTTTCCTCTAGGTCCAACACCTCTCCGCTGCTACAGTGACAGCTACAACACCAGTTTCTATGGTTTCCTGGAGCAATCTTTCATGGGTTTCCAGTTTCCCAACCTCACCGCCTTCCTGTCGCTCATGCCTCCTGACAGAATGAGTCTGGTGTGTTGACTTGAAAGATATCAGGAGTAAATATGATAAAGCAAGAGGAGAATGTCTTAATTTATGCCTTCTAATCTTGTAGATCATAAATTCCATCCCTCCATCGGAGCTTGGGGATTATCTACGACGTCCTAATGTTGTCGACAACAACGCACAGCTCTGCATGCTCTTCAACAGCTACAGCCAGACACCACAGTTTCTAGAAACTGTACGTAGCCCAAGGCACAAGCACACGCAGAAATGCAAACACAATGCAATGATTAAACACATTAATCTGTGCATTGCCTCCAGGAGTCTCTGCCGGAAGCGGTGAGGCGCTCCATCCTGCCCTGCGTCTGGCCCATGGCCCTCAGCAGCACCCAAACGTTGGAGGTGGATGCTTGGTTTGACCAACGCCTCAAGAACTACTTGCCCTTCCTCACAAAGAGCCTGATCAGTCCCAGTGTCATAAACAGCACCTCCTGCCTGGCCTTCCAAAAACTGTGTGTTTTACTACAGCACTAAATCCTGCTTTATATGTTTTTTTGTTTTGTGTTCTGATTTAAATTTGTTGTGTTTCAGTGTCTCAGTCCTTGGGGTATACAACTACACTACTGCTGACTTTGTGAGGGGAGACGTGTACAACACCATCAGGACTTACCTTTACGTCGGCTCAAGTAAGTCTCTCAAGAATGCCAGGGTCAAGGATCAAGTGGGATGCTAATTCAAGTGGGGGGGAAAAGACATTGATCAAATGATATTCTACATGAAACTGAACAGCAACCACATGTCACCTAAAAGCACAACTGCCTGAGCACAATTTAAATTAAAAGGAAAAATTTAGTTGTACACTGTTAATAACAACACTTCACCGAGTTCTTTTGATTCCTCAGAGGCATCCGATGGAAGACGAAACACTGCTCAGTAGACCATTTAATACTTTATTACTTCTAGAAGGGAGATGCATCCTGCATGACACGCTGCTGATCCCAAAATGCTGCTGTGCCCCTAACAGTTTTATTATAGAAGCTCTCTCATTCTAGTCTAAACAACAGTGTCTCAGTAACTTTCCACTAGAGATGGTCCCCTCTTATCTACAGGCAAACATGAGCGAGAGTCTGCAGCTTTCTACTCCCAAGGACACCTGGTCTCATGCCTTTATTTTTCAGGGCTGTGTCCGCTTAAAATACACTATATAACTTTATAACACTTATTATTAAAAAAGCATAGCATTATTGAGGCACTGCACATTATTTAATTCCAACAATACAAAATTCAGGGAATTGCAATTTTTCAGTTTCCCTTCATTTTGCAGCAGATTGTTGTGCTTTGGATATATCTGTATATATCTAATACTCAACTGTGTGTAACAGTAGAACAAAGTCAATACACTCAGTAATGTGAATTATGAGGATACAGTATATCTCTTAAGGTTTGCTGATATTAGCCAACGTTGTCACTCTCTGCCTTGCTACATTAATACCCGAGAAAGAAGCAAAGTATTAACATGATAACAAAGAGCTCAGACAACCATACACATATAAAGTAATTAGCTCCTTTGCTGTCACTGGTAGATCTTCATTTTTTGCAGTTAGCAACCCTTTATTCAGGACTTGCTTTTCCTTTAGAGTCATTTTCTTTAAAAAAAATAAATAAATTTTATTCACATACACATAGTATAGTACACATACAGTATAAATACATTAAAAGCAAGACCGCAGCAATTTTTCACTGATGCTTGTCCCCGTCATCGTTCTTAATAAGGTTCAAAGTGTCACGGGTTGCCAGGGCAAGACGTCTGAATTATAAAAGGACCCAAACTGCAGGTGGCTTCTGAAGTGAGCGAGCTTTATTGTGACAGTGATGTACGAAACAAAGGAAAGGGTGGCAAGAAACAGAACTGAAAACACTCTAAACTGGGGAAAAACTAAAACTTAAACAACAAAACCTGAACATAAGTGAGGGTAACTAGCAGGGAGGACAGCGCGGGGAGAATGCACAGGCAGACAGAGGAAGATGCACAGAATGACAGAGGGGAATAACGCAGACGAACCATATTTAAAATTAAAGGAATTTGGAATGTACATTGTGCCTTGGTTTAGAGTGTTTGGAAGAGAGTCCTGTCTCAGTCAATTATAGATGATGTGAGAGGGAGGGTGTGTGTGTTTAAGGCCCGGATGGCTTGGGGATAGAAGCTCCTCTTGAGTCTCTCTGTCCTTGCCCGGATGATGCGGAACCTTCTACCAGATTGCAGAAGTTGGAACGGGTCCTTCAGTATCTGCGCTGCTCTAGTCCGGCATCTCCTGGTGTAGATGTCCTGAAGCGGGGGGAGAGCAATCCTGCAGCAGCGTTCTGCTGTACCTGTCATGCTCCGCGGTGCACGTGCACAAAAGGAACCAGACGCAGACTCAGCGCTAGCAGAAAAGACACTTTATTATAATAACGAAAGGTAACCCGGGAAAACTAGGGAGCAAAACAAGGAACTAAAAACCCAGGGAAACAAGGACACAAGGAAGCCGGGATCGGGACCGTGGGAGGCTGCAATAGAAAGGGGAGAGGATTACTAGGGAGCCGGGAAGTGGGGAAAACACATCAGGACTGAGTTAGAGTAGGGGGCTTACGATAGAGCGGGACCGTGGGAGCTTGGGAGGGAAGTGTGGCAGTCCGTGAGCAGGAAGTCCGTGGAGATAGTGAATGGGCAAGATGATGCACCAAATGATCCAGTTGAGCCGGATGACAGGCAGGTGGCAGACGCCGAACGCCGGGTCGAAACCTGGACACAAGTAGGCGGATTAAACACAGTTCCAACCAGAAGTGAATGCACGCTTTCGTGGAAGTCTAGTTACCACTGTGAGGTGATTAACAGACTGGCGTGGAGCATCCGTCAGTGCCGGGTTAAGTAGCTCTTCATGTAATCACCGCGATGGAGAGCAGGTGTGTCGGTGTTGGCCCGGCCCGGGGGTGTGGCTACCCGAGAATCACGCATTCCACAGACACAGGACGACGGACCATGACAGTACGGATCACTCTCTGGAGAGCTTTTTGGTCCTTCACACAGCTGTTCCCAAACCACGATGTCATGTTCTGTGTGAGGATGCTCTCCACAGCGCATGTATAGAAAATCCTGAGGATCTTTGGAGAGACCCTGAACTTCCTCAGTTGTCGTAGGTGATACAGGCGCTGCCTAGCCTTTTTGGTCTGGACCTGAATGTAGGCAGACCATGTCAGGTCTGAGGAGATGTGGACACCAAGATACTTGAAGGACTGCACCCTCTCCACTGGAGCTCCATTGATGATAATGGGCTTGTAGTCTCTGTGCTGACTCCTTCTGAAGTCCACCACCAGCTCCTTGGTCTTGCCGACATTCAGCTGGAGGTGGTTGTCCTGGCACCATAATGCCAGATTCTTCACTTCGTCCATGTAGGCTGCTTCATCGTTGTTGGAGATGGCACCCAACACCACTGTGTCGTCAGCAAACTTCACAATGGTGTTGGAGCCATGGGTGGCCACACAGTCTGAAGTGTAGAGGGAGTAGAGCAGTGGCGAGAGGACACATCCCTGAGGTGCTCCTGTGTTGATGGTGATGCTGTTAGAGACGCATCTACCCACCCTCACCACCTGAGTTCTGCCAGTGAGGAAGTCCAACACCCATGCACACAGACGGCTGTTAAGTCCCAGATCCCTCATCCTTTTGGGAACAGTCTGCAGGGCACTATTGTGTTAAACGCTGAACTGTAATCAACAAACAGCATTCGCACATAGTTACCCTGTTTCTTGTCCACGTGGCTGAGAGTGGTGTGTAGGACGTGGGCGATGGCATCCTCTGTGGATCTGTTGGATCTGTAGGCGAACTGCAGCGGATCTGTGGTGTCTGGGATGGAGGAGGAGATGATGTTCTTCAGCAGCCTCTCAAACACCTTCATTACTACCGAGGTCAGTGCAACTGGCCAGTAATCGTTCAGGGATGAGGGTTTGCTGTTCTTGGGCACAGGGATGATGGTGGATCTTTTGAAGCATGTGGGGACCACAGACTTCGCCAGGGACTTGTTGAAGATATAAGTGAACACACCTGCTAGCTGGTCAGCACAGCAGCGCAGCAGACGGCCGGTGATGCCGTCTGGCCCCGCCGCTTTCCTTGTGTTCACTCTTCAATGCCGCTCGGACGTCATGCTCCGCGATGCTGGTCACCGGTCTCTCGCTGATGACGTCACTGTCCTTGGTAGTGAGGCGGTAGATAGCATTAGCCGCCTGGCTAACCTCAAAACGGGCATAGAACTGATTCAGCTGATTGGTGAATGCAGAGTCGGCGTTGATCGGCGCAGTGTCCCTGGCTTTGTAGTCCGTAATGGTGCGTAGTCCGTGCCACATACTCCGTGTTTCGCCCTGGTGGAAGCGGTACTCCCGGTACCGGCATTTGGCATCTCTCACTGCGCACCGCACGCCGTATGAGGCCGCTTTGTAGGCGCTCATATCGCCAGTGGCGAGACCCGCGTTGTAGGAGGCGGTCCTGGCGTTTACTGCAGTGCGGATCGATCTGTCCATCCATGGTTTCTGGTTTGGGAAGCAGGGCTACAGCTTTGTAGCCCTGCTTGTATGGCGTGTAGCAGTGATCCAAAATTCGATCCCCCCTCGTTGGACACGAGACATGCTGGTAAAAGTTTGGCATGACTTGTCTGAGGTTCGCTTTGTTAAAGTCTCCTGCTACAATGAGGGCTGCGCCCGGGTCCTTGTTTTGAAGCGAACTCAGCACATCATGTAATTTGGACAAAGCCATACCTATATCTGCTTGGGGTGGGATGTAGACCACCGTGGCGATGACCGAGGTGAACTCACGGGGCAGATAGAAAGGGCGGCACTTAATGCTCAGGAACTCCAGATGTGGCGAGCAGCCGCTGGAAAGCGTAGAAATGCTCCTGGCATCACACCACTTTCTGTTTACCATGAAACACACTCCTCCACCTTTGGTTTTGTTCGACTCTGCTGTTCTGTCCACGCGGAGCACAAACAATGAATCCGACGGAGTTACGGCCTGGTCCGGCACGGTGGGGGTCAGCCATGTCTCCGTGAAGCACAGAATGTTGCAGTCCCTCATGTCAAGTTGGAAGGTGACCCTTGCTCTTAGGTCATCAAGCTTGTTCTCCATGGATTGTACATTGGCCAGTAGGATACTGGGCAGTGGTGCGCGATGCGCCTGCTGTCTCAGTCTGTTCCTAATACCAGCACGTTTCCCCCGGCGCTTCTTTGTTCTACGCCTCAGATGAGCGGCCCGTCCTTTGTTGTTCTCCGCGCCGCGTAGAATCTCTGGCAGCCAGGAAGGGTCGGGTTTAAAAGTGTCCAAGATTAGATGTGCAACCTTGTCACCGATGTTTACAAGTGATCCGCTGTCGTATACTATAAGACTAGAGGATTTTGGGATGTAAACCAGAGCAAAAAATAAGTAAAAAACAAGAAAAGTGGATAGTCGGAGCGGAGCGGTCAGGAAGGCGTCTGGACGTGGCCGCGCCATCTTGGTTAAAAGACACGAACCTTCAAAATAAAACAGGAAACACAAAGACTGAACACAACACACAAACTTAACACAGACTGGGGGACACAGAACACAGGAACATGAAATGAAAGGAGAGTACAAAAACCCAGAATAAACAAAACCACAGAATAATAATAAACTTAAACATAAACACGGAGTCACAGACTCTGGACCATGACACAAAGATTTTGCCTTTTGTAACTTTGTCTTGATTTAACATTTTTGGATTTTAAATAACTGAAAAAGCAGGACAGTTAATGATTGCTTTAACTTTAAGGAAATTATATTTGCTTATATTTAGACCAATCGGCAGACTGTTGGATAACATTGTTTATTCCAGTAAAATCTGCCAGCTACTGTAGAAACAGTTTGTTATGGGCAGCATTTTTTATTACTTACTTTCTAGATTTGACTTCGAGAATTTACAGCAATTTAAAAAAGGCTATGCTGGAGTAAAATTACTATAGATTATATTTTTATTTATTCTGATCTTTATCATTAGTGTTTATTGTTCACATCTTTTTTTTCTAGCCTCAAATCCAAAGTGTTACTTCCCCAGCGACTCACAACTGAATTCCACAGCTTGGTTTGCTCAGTACATCGGGTCTTTCGTCTCTTTCCTCACTCTGGACGATGTTGTGACATTTGGATCTGAGTCGGTAAATAATCAACATTGGTGGAAATTTTGAACTGACGCTTTTCTACTTGGATTCAAATGCAGCAAAAAAACAGTTGATAATTTCATGACCTACAGACGTGCTTTTCTCCCCTCCTTGCAGGTCATTCAGGTCTTCACAGTGAACCTTCAGAACATCGCTCTTTTCAACACCTCTTTCTTACCTGCAAACCTCACAGAGTACTACACCACCCTTTTGTATCAACAGGACAGCAACTTCAACCCCTTACTGTGAGTTTAAATCTATACAATATGTTGCGTTCTCCAGCCACAAATCCTGCATTTTTCTGTAAGTGTTGTTTAACCTTCTTTGCAGCCTTCCTATCTTGTTTCGGTGTGTCGCTCCTGGTCCAGCATTTACCCAACTGAGTCCAAGCAACACTTTGATAGTTCTGCAGAATCTCACAGTTCTCTGTACGAACCTGGACCCACAAGTAAGAAACATTTAAAGAAAAGAAAAACAGCTATTTGTGCAGTCTGCTGCAAAAACCTAACTACATTCAATACAGGATAGGTAAGGTCAACTAGACATGAATGTTATAAGATTTCAATCTTTCAGAGATTCAGCATCTTGCCTGGTATTTTGGTAAAAAGTAGTTTATTATTTCCTTAAATTTGTCACCCACATAAAATTGGGTTTAGTTTCACTTGCAGGCTCCTGTTTTGAATCTGGTGTTTATTATTTAGAGTGGTGTAGAGCTCTTTGTTCTGGCGGTACGTGATTTTAAGAAGGGTGAAATGGAAAGAGCACTAAGCTCTCCTTTTATTAACTTGATAAAGTTTTGTTCCCCAGAATATTTACACTGTAGACATAAGTTTGACTCTACTGACAAAGTTTTCCTCTCACGTGTGAAGGTCACAGCTGCTTTGGCAGGTAACTTTGGTCAGAACATTGACTCCACAGTCATTTCTGTCCTCGGCAGCCAAAGCACTGGCATGTCGCTGAATCAGATCAGCTCAATCAAACCCCAGGACTTAATAAACTCCATCGGCACTCTCTCCACTGTGACGGGCTGGAGCGAAGGCCAGGCCATGACCATCATCCAGTCTCTGCTGTCTTCGGGCATCATACAGGTTGCAGATTTTAGACTGAATCCTGACTTTAGAAAAATCAAAGTCATCTTTGTGGTCATGTTCACTTATGCGTGTGTTGCTTCCATCCTTTCCACCAGATCAACAGCTCATCATCGCTGATAAGTCTGGGCACTCTCATCATTGGTGTACCTTCCAGAGTGTTCTTGAGCATCTCTGGTAATCAGCTGATAAGTGCCTCCCAAACTCCTTCACTGGTGGCAAACCTCCTTTCTGGTCCTCAGATCATCCAGCAGGTCTTTGTCAGTCAGGTATGACAGGTTTTCTGTTATAACTTGAGCATGATTTGAACTGCACACTTCCATCAGCTGCTTTGGATAAAGATAGAAAGCTTTCCACAGAGAGTTAACTCACAATGCTTCCATCTTCTCTCAGATCATATCAGTGAACACCAGCAGCGTGCAAGTGATCCAGAACGTTCCCAATGACCTGGCCACTGAGATCCCTCGATCCCTGCTGGTGGGCTTCTCCAGTAGCAACGACGTTATAACCATACTCAACAGAAAGGAATGGAAACAGCAGCAGGTAGAAGATGAAACCCTCAGCTTAGTTTTTATTGTCGTGTTGTGCTACATGCCTGTTATTACAGACTCTTTTTGTTTGTTTGTTTGTTTTGTTAGGCTGAATTGTTCTTTGAGTCGGTAGCTACAGAGAGCGCCTCTGCACAGCTGGGAGGTCCAAACAAGTGAGTTCAAATCAGTCTGGGAGATCAATCAAATCAATCAAAACAACCTGCAAATGGGTTTGAGTAGAGCTAACAGTGAATATGTGTGTGTGTGTGTGTGTGTGTGTGTGTGTGTGTGTGTGTGTGTGTGTGTGTGTGTGTGTAGTTTGTCATCCTCTGTGCTTCAAGGGTTCACATGCACTGGAGTGAGGAACATTGGCAATGAGCAAGTCAAGAACCTGATCAAAGCCTGTCGGAGGTCAGGCAGCAGGAAGGTTAAACTAGTGGAGTCTCAGGTACAGTGTTCAAGGCATTTATGGGATATTTAAAATCTCCTTCATATCTGCTCAAATATTAAAAAGTGAACATATTGGACATCAAAGGAGAAACTAACAATTGTTTAAAACACACTTAAAACAATATATACATACCCTGTGAATCGGGTTATATAGATTACACCGTATATAACTCTGGCACATAGAGTTAGGGTAATAAATGTTTGAACAAAGATGCAATTTTTGCATGTTGCAGCTGCACACCACCACAGTGGATTAAAGTGCAGACTTCCAGCTTTGGTGGAGAAGGCAAATTACAAAAATGCGTTACCATCCAACAAGTCATGGAGCTTTCTTACACATGTTCTCCGTCATAAACGGGGACGATACAAGGTGCTAATTATTTTGCCTTTTTTTTTAATCAACAGCTGACCTGCATGTACACTTACATTAAAGACGATGCTGCCAACTTCAACCTCTACCCTCCAGATGTGCTGCTGTATTATGAGTAAGAATCCTGTCTGTTTGTTCTGAATTAAAGCTGAATGGTGGATGCTACAGCTTGTCACACTTGTGTTTCCTCTTGCAGTTACTCACTGGTGCCGCAGGCCAGCTGCAGGGCCTATTTCACAGAGTTGGGAAATGCAGACTTCTCTGTCTTCTCTGCAGCGCTCAGCTACAAGCGCACTGCCCTGTTTGAAAACGCAAAGAGCTGCTTGGTGAGTCCTCGAACCACACATCACTTCTTGAGCTCTAAAGATTAGATGTATTAATAATTGCATGAAATGGAAATAACTGTCATCACACCAAGGTTTTGTTTAATGTTTTGAGTTGAAATGAATTTCTGTTTCTTTTATTTTCAAAGGGCATAACAAACACAAGCTTAACTAAAGATGAAATATCAGTATTGGGAAACATGTGCTGCATCCTGGATGCGTCCTACATCCTAAACTCAGATTCATCCATCTTGGAAAATCTCAAAAGCTGCCCCAGCCTCACTTCTGCTCAAGCAGCTGCTGTTCAGGCTCAAATGACTAATGGCAACACAAGATATGGGTACGCAAAACGCTTCACCGCTGTGGCAGATTTTCATTCCTGTTTGTTTGTTTCCTTGTCAGCAGATTTACATTTTTACATTTGGCCCTTTCTGTCCTTCATAATAATAATCACCGTTCTGTTTTCGTGATAACCAGAGCTCCTTCAGTGTGGACTGAGCAAACTCTGAAAGACCTCGGGATGCTGCCGCTGTATATGTCTTCAACCTTCTATGATCACTTCAACACTGTGAGTAATACATGACCGCAAACATTTACATTTTTTGATTTTGGTTTCTGTTTTTTGCTGTTAACCTTGTTCTTTATGCGCATTTCCTTCTTTCCCTTTGTTCTTGTGAGCAGAAAACAAAGAACAACTACTTGAGGTACTTCCTGGGTGTTCTCAAGGAAAACAACGTGGACAGTCAGAAGATCGGGGAGCTGAAGAGCGCAATAAGGATGTCCATTCCTAATGAGGAATCTACAGGTTGGTTTCTTTCTGTCAACTGCTTGGTCCATGTATTAGAATCCAGAGAGAATTTACTGTTTAACCAAAAATTGTTTCTCTTTCTGTGTTTCAGCCACTGACTGCACTTTGGGATTCATAAACCGTGTGACTCTCGTTGATCTAACATTCCCCTTAAACTATGATATAAGTCAGTTCACCAGCTGCCTCAATTCCACCATTGTCAAAGACAACTTGGATGCCCTCGTTAACCAGGTGCAGGAGCAGAACTACACAAAGATTGTTCTCAGCAAGTTGCGAGAGGTAAGTGGCAAAAAAACTCCTGGAGCCTATCCCAGCTGGCATAGATTTAGAGGCAGGTTAGGCCCCTCCTGGAGAGCAGGTTTAACACACAGAAGCATTCAGAAAAACATAACACACATTCTGACCTACGGTCAGTTTAAAATCAGTATTCGACCAAACCCCGTGCATGTTTTTGGACTTTGGAACGAAGCATGAGAACCAGCACAGACACAGGGAGGGCATGCAAAGTCTGCAACGCTGACAACTTCTATTATTTAAGCTTTTGCTATCTAAATTTGAGTCTAAATATCTTCTGACTTTTTTATAGGCTTACAGTGCCAGCGGTATCATCCCAGAAGATCAGGTTCAGATCTTAGGAGCAATGTCCCGTAGTGCCACAATGGAAGACATCAACATGTGGAGTATTATTCAGATCGACACACTCGCTTCTTTGATGGATGCTTCAAACGGGCCGTGGGACCCGGTTCTGGTGAGCAAACAGAAGAAAAAATCTGAACGTGAGCTTACTTTACATGCTTGTGTCTTCACACCGATGCTTGGTTCTCCTCATCAAGGCCAAAGCCATCATCTCCAAGTATCTGAGTGTAAAGGGGAACAGTCTCGGCAGTGTGGAGCTCAACGCCATTGGAGGACCAAACCTGTGCGCCCTGGATGATGTTGTTATCAGGAACATTTCGGTTGAAAGCATCAAGTAAGGCGTCAGAGCTGTGACTGTGCATGAGTGTGTGTGTGTTTGGAGGTTATTTTTACATCACATTAGCAGCAGGTTCTCAGAGTTTTACCCCTAATACTGCTGGATAAACAGAAACTCACTCAGGAACAAGGTCACACGGAGCTCAAATTTTCACTCGCGACAGGGAAGCAATTGTCTCCAACCCACTTCAACTTGCTTTCCCCCTGTAGGTTGTTTTTATTGGTTACACACATGAATATTCATAGAGCTTGTTGCTGTATTACCTATGAGAAATTACTATAACTGGTTACAAAGTGTGATTGTGTTGTGCAAGCGTGATTATACATTGTGTGTGGTTATATGATGGGAGTGCAGCTCTCCCAGATTGTTGTTGGTAGAATCTGTTCTTCTCAAGGCTGCTTGTTCCCTTTATCAATGTCATGCACGTAGTCATATGCGTAGGTTACCTAGATAGCAAGCAGAAGCATTCTAGCTTTCTAAATGGCATTGTGTAGGTTTTTAAATGGCAACCTACAGCACGTACATTAAACCTAACACAGGTAATATCTGGAAGGTACAAGAACATGTTGGCTAAAGGTCTGTCAGGGATCCTGTACTTACAAAGGCAGGTGAATCCACATAAATCTCTAAATTATTATTTAGATAACTAGAAAAAAAAGTCTGATTTAATGATAAATAATGTTATATGAATTCCATAAACTCAACACACCATTCCTGTGTGTTTTATCTCCTGCAGGAACGCCGATGCTCTGGACATATCCAGCTGCACCACTGAGAAAAAGCAAGAACTGTTTTCCCTCACATATGAAGCATTTATCCCAGACAAACACTCAATCACTATCTCCACTTCCAGTTACCAGCTCATACAATCTTACCTACGTAAGCAAACAGACCCGCATTCAAAAAAAGCATCATTTAAACAGCTGAAAGTTAACGTACCATTAATTTTTTTCCATTCTTGCAGCGGGTGCAGATCTTAGGTTTATCCAAGACTTAGTGTCTGCCAATATCAGTATGGACGTCCCGATCTTCACTGGGCTGCTTGAGAGTGTTATACAGGTCAGTGCTGCATGTCTGCACTTTGAATTCTGAATTTTAGACTAATTTTGAAAAAAGGTTTTTATTTTTTTTATTTATTTTGGGGTGGGGGTCTTGCATCATAGTTCCTCAATTTATTTACTTCACTCAAACCATTAGATGGGGCTGATAAGTTGTAAAACTAAATTGTTTTTTGGTTCTGTCAAAGAATAAAGTAAGTGTGTTTATTTGCTCATACGATAAAATGTGTCTGCTCTGTTCTCCATAGAACCTGACTGTTAGTGATGTTAAAGGTCTTCTTGGCACCAACCTCCCACTTTTGAAGTCGTATGAAAATGTGACAGTGGTGCAAACCTGGATCAGTTCACAGTTTCAGTCCAATCTTAATGGTCTGGGAGTGGGGCTTACAGGAGGCAAGGTTAGCCCCACCACCACCACTACATCAGACACATCATCAACAACATCAGGGGCAACTTCATCGATAACATCGGGGCCAAATTCATCAACAACATCAGGGGCAACTTCATCGATAACATCGGGGCCAAATTCATCAACAACATCAGGGGCAACTTCATCGATAACATCGGAGCCAAATTCATCAACAACATCAGGGGCAACTTCATCGATAACATCGGGGCCAAATTCATCAACCACATCAGGGGCAACTTCATCGATAACATCGGGGCCAAATTCATCAACAACATCAGGGGCAACTTCAACGATAACATCGGGGCCAAATTCATCAACAACATCAGGGGCAACTTCATCGATAACATCGGGGCCAAATTCATCAACAACATCAGGGGCAACTTCATTGACATCATTGGGGACAACTTCAACAACAACATCAGGGGCAACTTCATTGACATCATTGGGGACAACTTCAACAACTGGATCCAGCAGCACCACGCGTAAGTATTACAAAAGGTAGCATGGGGTAAAATATTCAAAGACACCTCAGATAAAGCAGCAGTACCCAAGCAGGGCCCAAGTGTTAATCGAGAGCACAAGAAGTAAGGGAGGCCGAAATAAAGCAGGAAAACATGAAATGTTAAGCTAGCGGTGGACCTTCTGCTGCAGATTCAATCTTTTAATTGCTCATTTTAACATTTTGTCTCATATCCTGCTGTTTTGTTACGAGTATGTAGAGATCATCTTACATCAGAAGCACTGACAAGAAAAACAAAACAAAACAAAAAACACATTGGTGGTGAAAGGGAACTTGGTTTTTACTTGCGAGATCTGCAGTGTGATTAATGATGGCAGCATGAAATCTCATATCCTGCTGTGTTGATGCATAAAATGTAATTTTTTGTCAATTTATAACTTTTTTTCTCTCTTTTTTTTTGTGGTACAGCAACAGATATCTGTATCGGTTTGAACAGGTAGGATTTACACGAACCTGTTGGAGAGTTTACTTTTTATGCAACGTTGTCCCAGATGTCAACAAAGTACCAATCACATGTTTTATTTTGAAACCACAGAACAGCAGTTCAGCTCCAACTCACCAGTGCACAGACGAGCGGAAACCTCTGTGACTTGGCCGTTGAGCAACTGGCTTGTGCCTCGGTAAGAGCGTCACATAAGTCAACAGCCGTCTGTGATTAAGCTCGTTTTCACTTTCACTGTAGAGTCTAAACTGCTCTCTGTCGTCACGCAGCTGTCAACAATAACAGCAGAACAGCTGGCAATGATACTGAAGTGCAACCGCTACTCCAGCTCGAGTGGGTCCAAATCTGTCTGGAAACTTGTCCTCTCCGAAACCTCTCAGGTCCTGGACCAGGCTCTGGATCTGCTCGTCAACACGGTATGAAAGCATTACACAATATTTTGTAAGACGAGAAGAACCTTCTGCAAACCGTCTGTTGTTGAAAGATAAGAAAAGTCAGTAGTTACATCACATTTTGATCTTTGTTATAGACTCTGGACGCCAACAACCCAGCAGTGTCCGTGATTCTGGACACCATACAAGAACTCCGAATAGATACTGTCAACACGGCCACCCTCAATAATCTAACCTTCATCCAGACGTGGTTTGGCCGCCGCCTTCTCCCATTTCTGCCAGCTGTTTCACCTGACTTCCTTTCATATATGGCCACAAGGGAACTTACTTGCAGCTCCTACCAGGCCATGTAAGAAATTAAGACCATAAAATTACATCAAATGTGACTGCCTTTCTTGGTATACCAAAAGCCTGCCATTTTTTAATTAACCTAATCCCAATTTCAATTCAGTCAGCAGATTTTGAGTCAACTCCGGCCACAATTGACGTTTGCCAGGCAGATGTCTGTCTACACGCACTTCATTAAGGTTTTCCTGACCAAGGACAACAGCACAGGTACACTGCTGTATTACAGCCCAGTAACAATCAATGGCAGCCTATTAACAGTTACAGTCTATGTATTGTTCACGTCACATCTGAATTAATCCAACATTCACACATGTTGATAGAATTGGTGGGATTCAGGAATACAGTAATCCAGGGTGGTCACGTGTATTGCAAAGTGACATAACAATGTATGATAGATGCTTTTCCTTCAGCACAATAAAGCTGAATTTCCTCTGTGTGTGTTTGTGGTTCAGACCCCGCCTGCAGCTCAGGCATTGCCACCAGTGCACAATGGCTGCAGGTGAACATGGGAGGTTTTGCCTATCTTGCGACGTTCCAGGACATTCAGACGATCTACTCCAACTTCTCAGCGGTGCGTTATGATGCACTGCATTTTCTGTCTTTACATCTGTTTTCTTGTGGGGTGGGGTTTCCCTCTGTGATAACCACAACTGTCACTGACAACATGTGTGTTTGCATATGCAGATGGAAGCCCTGTCACAGCTCACGGTCAGACAGCTAGCCGAGGTGTCCACAACACCTGGCCAGCTCACAACTTCTGAGCAAGTCAACATGGTGATGAAATATGTGCCTGACCAGTCTCTGGCTGCCTTCTTTGATGATTTCTCATCTGTTCTCCTGGTGAGCATACATCATGTTATAAAGTCACCTGGTGTGTTTTGTTGATACTAGAGGTCAAGTCAAGCTGAGTTTATCTGTTCATCACATGTAAAACATTCATACGTTTTGTGTTTGTTTGCAATGATGGTAAACTCTAACATTTTTCTGGTTAGTCTTCTCACACAGAAGTTGAAGAAGGTCCTGTTACACCTGTTACATCTAAAAAACATGATTATTACTTTTGGTTTTTTCTACAGGCTCCTGAAGACGCATTGCCTTCAGTTGTGAGGTCAGCCATGTTGCAAGTTGTGTTTGATCGTGCAAACCTCTCCCTTCCTTCGATGAGTGATGCGGACGTAGAGGTGTGGCTTACCTCCCGGCTGCCACCTCTGCTGGTACAACTTTCACCAGGACAAGTTGCACCTTACTTCGGAATACTGGCAGGACGGAGCTGCAGCATTGAGCAGCTGGGGTGAGCACAAAGCTTCAAGCACCATATATGGAAGTATTTAAGCAATCTGACTGGAAATAAACCTTTGCATTTTTTTGTTTCAGTGTACTGAACCTGAACATGACTATCTCAACGCTCAGCACAGACACACAGCAGAAAATCTATGATCAAATCCTCCAGACCCTCGGAGGTAAAGCTAACCCAGGAAACCAGTAAACTCAGCTTTAATTTTTTTTGTTGGATGCTTTATGAAATTGGGCTGTAACATTCCTGTAAGCGAGTAGCCCATTCACATTTCTTAACATAATGGCTGCCAGCCTTGTGAAAGTGAGAGAGGAGTCAGACATTGAGTTTTCTCCTATGCTCGCTCTTGTTATTTTTTCATTAAACATGTATGTTTGTCACATTTTATGTGAATACAACAACAAGTAAAACTTTATTTATTTATTTTATTCCAGATGGCTTAACAAAGCATGAGGCAAAGTTCCAATATTATAACCTAGTTTGTGTCTCCACCTTTTCCTCTAGGTCCAACACCTCTCCGCTGCTACAGTGACAGCTACAACACCAGTTTCTATGGTTTCCTGGAGCAATCTTTCATGGGTTTCCAGTTTCCCAACCTCACCGCCTTCCTGTCGCTCATGCCTCCTGACAGAATGAGTCTGGTGTGTTGACTTGAAAGATATCAGGAGTAAATATGATAAAGCAAGAGGAGAATGTCTTAATTTATGCCTTCTAATCTTGTAGATCATAAATTCCATCCCTCCATCGGAGCTTGGGGATTATCTACGACGTCCTAATGTTGTCGACAACAACGCACAGCTCTGCATGCTCTTCAACAGCTACAGCCAGACACCACAGTTTCTAGAAACTGTACGTAGCCCAAGGCACAAGCAGAAATGCAAACACAATGCAATGATTAAACACATTAATCTGTGCATTGCCTCCAGGAGTCTCTGCCGGAAGCGGTGAGGCGCTCCATCCTGCCCTGCGTCTGGCCCATGGCCCTCAGCAGCACCCAAACGTTGGAGGTGGATGCTTGGTTTGACCAACGCCTCAAGAACTACTTGCCCTTCCTCACAAAGAGCCTGATCAGTCCCAGTGTCATAAACAGCACCTCCTGCCTGGCCTTCCAAAAACTGTGTGTTTTACTACAGCACTAAATCCTGCTTTATATGTTTTTTTGTTTTGTGTTCTGATTTAAATTTGTTGTGTTTCAGTGTCTCAGTCCTTGGGGTATACAACTACACTACTGCTGACTTTGTGAGGGGAGACGTGTACAACACCATCAGGACTTACCTTTACGTCGGCTCAAGTAAGTCTCTCAAGAATGCCAGGGTCAAGGATCAAGTGGGATGCTAATTCAAGTGGGGGGGAAAAGACATTGATCAAATGATATTCTACATGAAACTGAACAGCAACCACATGTCACCTAAAAGCACAACTGCCTGAGCACAATTTAAATTAAAAGGAAAATTTAGTTGTACACAAAATTCAGGTAATTGCAATTTTTTTCAGTTTCCCTTCATTTTGCAGCACCATAGATTGCTGTGCTTTGGATATATCTGTATATACCTAATACTCATCTTTGTGTAACAGTAGAGAAAAGGTATCCGGTCGTTAAGTAATGACGTGACGAATCCTACTTCCGGGCCTAAAGTAGTCTGAGTTTAATATGGCTTTTGTGTTGTTAACATGTTTAATGTATTTTCTTCTATTTAATCTCAAAAATCTCCTAAAACAGTCAGTGATCCCTGTTGACCTCCCTCGGCTTTTATTACCACTAATCATTTATTTAAGCTCAGTTTTTAAAACCTTAGGATGTAACTACAGCCCAGCCCATGCAGCAGTATACAAATGACTAACCTCGTATTGTGGATGGATTATCTCAGTTGTTCTCCTGGCTGAAGTTTGGTCCTTTTACAGCATCCTGCCATGCGATTACATTTGTTACTGACCACTGAGAACACTCCCGTTAACTTTTATTGAGTGGAAAAAAGTTAGCTTGTTTATATTATGCTAACATAGCGGGTTACATAGTGTGGGTTACTTCAGTAACCCTACAAATGTCACTGCTGTTTAGTTTTCTGTCTTCATTTATGTTGGAAGTGATAACAGAGCTGTACGTTTTAATTTGTTTCCAAAACCCCGGCAGTCAGGACATGCTATATTGTATTTAGATAGAAGCTAGCGAGCTAACTTCCTGCTAACTTCTAACTCCGTTAAATGTCATAAATTCCATTTTCATGGATGCCTGGATGTTAAACTCAATTGTTACACCTGGTAGAGCAGAACGTTGATCATTTTATTAAAGATGAAAGACTTTAGACAGTTTAGTAGGTAGAACAGTGGTAGTACAAAATGGCAATAGAGTACACATACAGTATAAATACGTTAAAAGCAAGACAGCATCAATCTTTCACTGATGCTTGTCCCCGTCATCATTCTTAATAAGGTTCAAAGACTTTGTCTTTTATAACTTTGTCCTGCTTTAATATTTTTCAATTTTAAATAAACCATAAGGACATCTTATTTTCAATTTGCTTATATTTAGACCAATCGGCAAACTGTTGGATCACAATGTTAATTCCAGTAAAACCTGCCAGCTACTGTAGTAACAGTTTGTTATGGTCATCATTTTTTATTGCTTACTTTTTACATTTGACTTCAAGAATTCACAGCAATTAAAAAAACGCTACGCTGGAGTAAAATGATTATAGATTGTAGAGCAGGGCGATATGATCAAAAATATTTATCACGATATACATTTGAAAATTTGCGATAACAATATAACTGACGATATAATTGACACTTGACAAAATACCTTATAAGTCCACGACTTTATTCGTGCAAAAAAATAAATCAACGTATTTTCACTTAAACAAGCAGCTGTTTTTTATGAGCATTAAAGTTATATAAAAATTTAACAGTGCAAATGCAAATTCCTTGCTGACAGTTTAACCAAAAGGCATTTCCAGTACAAATTGGCCGACATATCCTCAGCATAACCATGTATAATATCCACAAAACTTAAAAAGAGGTTATACACACACAATACGGTAATATTATGTTGAAGCACAGTACATATCACTCCGCGAGGCTCCTGCCTACGATAGCCGTAATGCTCCAACAATCCATCAAGCGGTGCGGGTTCGTAGCTTAGCAAAGTTGTACTAAAACATTTCACAGATTTTCGAGCGCCATGTACCACATAAAATCGTTTTGAGGTCAGTAAACACAACCAGAATTCATACATAAGGCACATGGGGTTATAAGGGGCACTGTCGATTTTCAGAAAAAATTTTCAGAAAAGGATTGATTTTAAGTGTGCCGTATTTTCCAAAAAACACGGTAATAACAACAGCCTGCTAGCATGCTCTACCAAAAATAGTGCTTTGTTGTGTATCTGACGGACGAAAGCTAAACAATTTCCACACCACTGAAGTTGCAGCATTTTTACAAACCAATTCTGGTTTATCCGTTTCATTCAACGATCCGCTTTCACCCTTCTCATTCTCTGTCGGCGGCATGCTTTTTCCGCCATGTGCGTATTAAAAAAAGGCACTGCGCATGCGCGTTTTACCCATATTCTATTGCGATATTTAATTTTCTTATCATTGCCTGACATTATACCGGTATTACCGTGAATGCTATGATATGGCCCAGCCCTAATAGATTGTATTTTTATTTATTCTGAACTTTATCATTATTATTTATTGTTAACATCTTTTTTTTTAGCCTCAAATCCAAAGTGTTACTTCCCCAGCAACCCACAACTGAATTCCACAGCTTGGTTTGCTCAGTACATCGGGTCTTTCGTCTCTTTCCTCACTCTGGACGATGTTGTGGCATTTGGATCTCAGTCGGTAAAGAATCAACATTGGCGTAAATTTTGAACTGACGCTGATTTTTTTTTCTACTTGGATTCATTTCATGACCTACAGATGTGCTTTTCTCCCCTCCTTGCAGGTCATTCAGATCTTCACAGTGAACCTTCAGAACATCGCTCTTTTCAACACCTCTTTCTTACCTGCAAACCTCACGAAGTACTACACCACCCTTTTATATCAACAGGACAGCAACTTCAACCCCTTACTGTGAGTTTAAATCTATACAATATGTTGTGTTCTCCAGCCACAAATCCTGCATTTTTCTGTAAGTGTTGTTTAACCTTCTTTGCAGCCTTCCTATCTTGTTTCGGTGTGTCGCTCCTGGTCCAGCATTTACCCAACTGAGTCCAAGCGACAGTATGATAGTTCTGAAGAATCTCACAGTTCTCTGTACGGACCTGGACCCACAAGTAAGAAACATTTAAAGAAAAGAAAAACAGCTATGTGTGCAATCTGCTGCTAAAATGAATAGTTATGTCTATAACTTCTGTTCCTTGAAGGAGAGGAACGAGGTACAACACATAAGTATAGGATATCACGCCCTTGCATGTCCTGGCTGAAGAAACCTTTATTCACGCCTGTGGTGACATGTGCACAACCCCGCCTGGACTGTCATCACAGTCATCCCTCAGTTTGATAGCCGCTCTTCACCGACCCAAACTGCTCAGTGGGGCCACCTTGTGTTGTACCTTGTTCCTCTCCTTCGGGGAACAGAAATTATAGACAACTATTCATTCCCTTTCAGTCGATTTACTCGGTACAACACATGGGACATACATACACGCCCTGCAGAGCAACCAGAATTGAACCACCACCACCTTAGTGTGCGGTAGACCCAGCATAAAGAACAGTATGAGCCACCAAAGGGGATGTAACGTCCAACCGATAAGACCGCACAAAAGTATGCGGTGATGCCCAATTAGCTGCTGCACAAATACCAGCAACAGTCACTAATTTTCATATCCACTGACTCCACTGACACCCCCTCCTTCCTGTGCTGAATTGTAGCGTAAGCGAATCATTCAGGACTCACTCACCCCCTCCCTCCTGGCTCATAGCTTCTTCTTCTTCTTCTTGGTTGGCAACCAATGTTAAGGGGCATTACCGCCCCCTGGCACACAGCTCAGTGGACATTTAGATGAGAAAATATATATTTGACACATTTGAGGAAAATACTAATAAAATAAAATAAAAATAAATAAAATAAATGTTCCCTTTAGAAATATATATTTTTTGCTCTTTAAAAATAGTTGTTTTTCTTTTTCAATCACTCATCCTAGAAGTAAGATTTACATGAAAAGAGAAACAAATTAAGTCTGAGTGAAAATGTACATTTTTTGCACTCTCTGGTCAACTGACTCAGTGAATCAAATGACTCAAAAAACCCGATTCACTTTGGTGAGTGACTCATTAAAACTCGATTCAGTAAAAAGAATCAAATTTACCATCACTACTCCACATCAGCCACGCCGCTTTGCTAGCTGGAACACCAGTGTCGCCACATAAGGACGCTGTCATAGCCTGTCAATGACGTTGATTAGCTGCGTATGTACGAATGTGAATCGCATCATTGGCTGGACTATGGGATAAGGTGGCATCGTTCTAATCCCATATGGTAGCAGCCAGTCACTTACTGACTAACACTGCAAAACAGAATTGTTAAAGTTTTAATTTTAATTCCAATTCAAGTTAGATTTTTTTGTGCACAACGCAGATTTTCTGTGTGCAGAGGCTGTGCCAGCAGTGCGCAATTGCGCACGCGCGCAGCTTAACATTGCTGATGGCTCTTTTTTGCTTCTCATCCTTCACCATCTTTCACATGATTCAGTTTATTTTGAAAAATCTCAACAGGATCTTGAGCTTTATTCTGAAAGGTGTATGTGGAAAATAAACAAGCGGACATGCGATGGTTTTGCCGTCGTTAATGCTAATGACAACGCATAAAAACAGGCGCTTGTCCGTCTGTAGTTTGGTTATATTAAATATAAGAGAAAGAGAGAACTTTAAGAAATTAATATAGCCACTACAGTGACCATCAAAACGGTGAAAAAATATTGCCATAAACAGTTTATTTTGCGACACCAGGAAACAAACGATAGCGTAAAATAAAACGATAGATGTTTTTATATCGTCATCCGATATATATCGTTATATCGAACAGCCCTAAATAAAACCACATTTCTGTAACATTAGTAATTCCTTTTGTGCGTAATTTTATATTATTGTTGATAATAAATTACTTAAAGTAGCAAAACAACCTGAAGAGCCAAAAAAAGCCGGCTCTTTTTGGTGAGCCAAGCCGAAATTCCCATCACTAGTACCGAGTGATTCGACTGAAAGGGAACCTAACTTAAGAAATGCACATACCTACATTCAATACAGGATAGGTAAGGTCAACTAGACATGAATGTTATAAGATTTCAATCTTTCAGAGATTCAGCATCTTGCCTGGTATTTTGGTAAAAAGTAGTTTATTATTTCCTTAAATTTGTCACCCACATAAAATTGGGTTTAGTTTCACTTGCAGGCTCCTGTTTTGAATCTGGTGTTTATTATTTAGAGTGGTGTAGAGCTCTTTGTTCTGGCGGTATGTGATTTTAAGAAGGGTGAAATGGAAAGATGAATAAAAGAGCACTAAGCTCTCCTTTTATTAACTTGATAAAGTTTTGTTCCCCAGAATATTTACACTGTAGACATAAATTTGACTCTACTGACAAAGTTTTTCTCATACATGTGAAGGTCACAGCTGCTTTGGCAGGTAACTTTGGTCAGAACATTGACTCCACAGTCATTTCTGTCCTCGGCAGCCAAAGCACTGGCATGTCGCTGAATCAGATCAGCTCAATCAAACCCCAGGACTTAATAAACTCCATCGGCACTCTCTCCACTGTGACGGGCTGGAGCGAAGGCCAGGCCATGACCATCATCCAGTCTCTGCTGTCTTCGGGCATCATACAGGTAGCAGATTTTAGACTGAATCCTGACTTTAGAAAAATCAAAGTCATCTTTGTGGTCATGTTCACTTATGCGTGTGTTGCTTCCATCCTTTCTACCAGATCAACAGCTCATCATCGCTGATAAGTCTGGGCACTCTCATCATTGGTGTACCTTCCAGAGTGTTCTTGAGCATCTCTGGTAATCAGCTGATAAGTGCCTCCCAAACTCCTTCACTGGTGGCAAACCTCCTTTCTGGTCCTCAGATCATCCAGCAGGTCTTTGTCAGTCAGGTATGACAGGTTTTCTGTTATAACTTGAGCATGATTTGAACTGCACACTTCCATCAGCTGCTTTGGATAAAGATAGAAAGCTTTCCACAGAGAGTTAACTCACAATGCTTCCCATCTCCTCTCAGATCATATCAGTGAACACCAGCAGCGTGCAAGTGATCCAGAACGTTCCCAATGACCTGGCCACTGAGATCCCTCGATCCCTGCTGGTGGGCTTCTCCAGTAGCAACGACGTTATAACCATACTCAACAGAAAGGAATGGAAACCGCAGCAGGTAGAAGATGAAACCCTCAGCTTAGTTTTTATTGTCGTGTTGTGCTACATGCCTGTTATTACAGACTCTTTTTGTTTGTTTGTTTTGTTAGGCTGAATTGTTCTTTGAGTCGGTAGCTACAGAGAGCGCCTCTGCACAGCTGGGAGGTCCAAACAAGTGAGTTCAAATCAGTCTGGGAGATCAATCAAATCAATCAAAACAACCTGCAAATGGGTTTGAGTAGAGCTAACAGTGTATATGTGTGTGTGTGTGTGTGTGTGTGTGTGTAGTTTGTCATCCTCTGTGCTTCAAGGGTTCACATGCACTGGAGCGAGGAACATTGGCAATGGGCAAGTCAAGAACCTGATCAAAGCCTGTCGGAGGTCAGGCAGCAGGAAGGTTAAACTAGTGGAGTCTCAGGTACAGTGTTCAAGGCATTTATGGGATATTTAAAATCTCCTTCATATCTGCTCAAATATTAAAAAGTGAACATATTGGACATCAAAGGAGTAAATAACAATTGTTTAAAACACACTTAAAACAATATATACATACCCTGTGAATCGGGTTATATAGATTACACCGTATATAACTCTGGCACATAGAGTTAGGGTAATAAATGTTTGAACAAAGATGCAATTTTTGCATGTTGCAGCTGCACACCACCACAGTGGATTAAAGTGCAGACTTCCAGCTTTGGTGGAGAAGGCAAATTACAAAAATGCGTTACCATCCAACAAGTCATGGAGCTTTCTTACACATGTTCTCCGTCATAAACGGGGACGATACAAGGTGCTAATTATTTTGCCTTTTTTTTTTAATCAACAGCTGACCTGCATGTACACTTACATTAAAGACGATGCTGCCAACTTCAACCTCTACCCTCCAGATGTGCTGCTGTATTATGAGTAAGAATCCTGTCTGTTTGTTCTGAATTAAAGCTGAATGGTGGATGCTACAGCTTGTCACACTTGTGTTTCCTCTTGCAGTTACTCACTGGTGCCGCAGGCCAGCTGCAGGGCCTATTTCACAGAGTTGGGAAATGCAGACTTCTCTGTCTTCTCTGCAGCGCTCAGCTACAAGCGCACTGCCCTGTTTGAAAACGCAAAGAGCTGCTTGGTGAGTCCTCGAACCACAAATCACTTCTTGAGCTCTAAAGATTAGATGTATTAATAATTGCATGAAATGGAAATAACTGTCATCACACTAAGGTTTTGTTTAATGTTTTGAGTTGAAATGAATTTCTGTTTCTTTTATTTTCAAAGGGCATAACAAACACAAGCTTAACTAAAGATGAAATATCAGTATTGGGAAACATGTGCTGCATCCTGGATGCGTCCTACATCCTAAACTCAGATTCATCCATCTTGGAAAATCTCAAAAGCTGCCCCAGCCTCACTTCTGCTCAAGCAGCTGCTGTTCAGGCTCGAATAACTAATGGCAACACAAGATATGGGTACGCAAAACGCTTCACCGCTGTGGCAGATTTTCATTCCTGTTTGTTTGTTTCCTTGTCAGCAGATTTACATTTTTACATTTGGCCCTTTCTGTCCTTCATAATAATAATCACCGTTCTGTTTTCGTGATAACCAGAGCTCCTTCAGTGTGGACTGAGCAAACTCTGAAAGACCTCGGGATGCTGCCGCTGTATATGTCTTCAACCTTCTATGATCACTTCAACACTGTGAGTAATACATGACCGCAAACATTTACATTTTTTGATTTTGGTTTCTGTTTTTTGCTGTTAACCTTGTTCTTTATGCGCATTTCCTTCTTTCCCTTTGTTCTTGTGAGCAGAAAACAAAGAACAACTACTTGAGGTACTTCCTGGGTGTTCTCAAGGAAAACAACGTGGACAGTCAGAAGATCGGGAAGCTGAAGAGCGCAATAAAGACGTCCCTTCCGGATGAGTCAAAGCGATCTCCAGGTTGGTTTCTTTCTGTCAACTGCTCGGTCCATGTATCAGAACAGGGATAGGCAACCTTTCTGATGATGAGTACCATCTAAAATTCCCTCAGAAGTCAGTGTGCCATATGATTGCATTAGCAATAAATTTAATAACACTCTATATTAACAGTTACACACTATATAGAACAACTTTATACAATTATATTTTGTCGCAGATGTTGGCAGCTATCAGCGAATAGTTATCAGGTATTTTGAAACAAAAAAAAGACTTTTTATCCATAACAGTAAATGAACTGTACAACAGAAAATGCAAATGCTATTTATAGTCTCCTCACAACAATGATAAGAAAAATAAACTGGGCCAATATGGCATGTTTGTTAATACAGGGATACACATGTTAATGTGATCTCTGGTCTCCCACTCAGAGACACAGGTCTCCGAGTGACCTGTGAGACCCCATTGAAGAGCCATAGGCTGTGGATCTCTTAGGATCTCGCTGTTGGGTTTGTAATAATAATAATAATAATGGATTGGATTTATATAGCGCTTTACAATGCCACTATTCATTCACTCTCGCATTCACACACTGGTGGAGGTAAGCTACGGTTGTAGCCACAGCTGCCCTGGGGCAGACTGACAGAAGCGAGGGTGCCATATCGCGCCATCGGCCAACACCAGTAGGCGGTAGGGTAAAGTGTCTTGCCCAAGGACACAACGACCAGGACAGAGAGCCCGGGAATCGAACCGGCGACCTTCCGGTTACAGATACGCTTCCCAACCCCCTGAGCCACGGTCGCCCACAAAGGTGGAACAGAATTGAAAATGGAATCGGAATCATGAAAATCTTATCAATACCCATCTCTACTTATGAATAAAATAAAGTTCACTATCAGTAACATCATAGCACCCACTCAGCTGTATAAAAACTCCGTCATGCTAGCTAGTACACAGTACGAGTTATTGCAACTGACGGTAAAAAGTCAGCACAACGAAAATAAACTGCACCTAAACTTGGTTCATATCTGACCCAGATAGACTGCAGGTCATAACTTCTTACCTGAAGTTCAGTTCACCTGACACTCGGACCGGCGGCCGCCTCGGGTCTCTCCTCCTCCTGACTCCCCTTTCCCTCATCCACCTGCTGGCCTCTGTGGAAGCTCCGTCATAGCCACCAAACAACTGAGTTATTTTTACACATCGACCAGCATCTGGCCAATCCACCACTTTCACTGTTTATAGGGTTGACAAAAAAAAAATCATCGGCCCATAAAAATGAAAAATCACCAGTCCAGCGATGGTGCCATCAGTTAACCCTTCTGGCACGCATGCTCAGGGTTGCCGACCCCTGTATTAGAATCCAGAGAGAATTTACTGTTTAACCAAAAATTGTTTCTCTTTCTGTGTTTCAGCCTGCACTTTGGGATTCATAACCCGTGTTACTATCGTTAATCTAACATTCCCCTTAAACTATGATATAAGTCAGTTCACCAGCTGCCTCAATTCCACCATTGTCAAAGACAACTTGGATGCCCTCGTTAACCAGGTGCAGGAGCAGAACTACACAAAGATTGTTCTCAGCAAGTTGCAAGAGGTAAGTGGCAAAAAACTCCTGGAGCCTATCCCAGCTGGCATAGATTTAGAGGCAGGTTAGGCCCCTCCTGGAGAGCAGGTTTAACACACAGAAGCATTCAGAAAAACATAACACACATTCTGACCTACGGTCAGTTTAAAATCAGTATTCGACCAAACCCCGTGCATGTTTTTGGACTTTGGAACGAAGCATGAGAACCAGCACAGACACAGGGAGGGCATGCAAAGTCCACAGCACTGACTACTTCCATTATTTAAGCCTTAAATTTTAACTCTGTGATACCATGTGTCATACATGGCTTTTGTGAGTCTTTAAGACCTCAACATCACCAGGTCAATTTTGTTTCTGCTGATAAACCTAAATAAATTGTAGAGGAATGTCAGATGTAGCAAAGATGATCCAAATGGAAGGTTCAATAAACACTCCACTTTAAAAAAATATACATAATTTCCTGGCAATTACCTCATGATTCGGGCTTTACAAGGTTAAGTGATATCATCAGCATCTGACTGGGGTTTCTTCTCTCTTGGTCTCTTACTTTTTGTGGCTATTTATTTTTAAAATTCCACAGAAACACGTGAGGAAGTTAAATGATTAGAGTTTACAGTTTTTGCTGACGATCTTTTAGACGGTTAAGCATGAGTCTATACTTTTTTCAAACCCTAAATCCTTGTTTTGTTTTTGAGGTGTTTTTACATTGTTTTGTTTGTTCTCAGCAGTTTTTCTCTTTGAATAGTTTGCTATCTAAATTTGAGTCTAAATATCTTCTGACCTTCCTAAATTTATAGGCTTACAATGCCAGCGGCATCATCCCAGAAGATCAGGTTCAGATCTTAGGAGCAATGTCCCGTAGTGCAACAATGGAAGACATCAACATGTGGAGTATTATTCAGATCGACACACTCGCTTCTTTGATGGATGCTTCAAACGGGCCGTGGGACCCGGTTCTGGTGAGCAAACAGAAGAAAAAATCTGAACGTGAGCTTACTTTACATGCTTGTGTCTTCACACCGATGCTTGGTTCTCCTCATCAAGGCCAAAGCCATCATCTCCAAGTATCTGAGTGTAAAGGGGAACAGTCTCGGCAGTGTGGAGCTCAACGTCTTTAGAGGACCAAACCTGTGCGCCCTGGATGTTGTTGTTATCAGGAACATTTCGGTTGGAAGCATCAAGTAAGGCGTCAGAGCTGTGACTGTGCATGAGTGTGTGTGTGTTTGGAGGTTATTTTTACATCACATTAGCAGCAGGTAATATCTGAACAAGAACATGTTGGCTAAAGGTCTGTCAGGGATCCTGTACTTACAAAGGCAGGTGAACCCACATAAATCTCTAAATTATTATTTAGATAACTAGAAAAAAAAGTCTGATTTAATGATAAATAATGTTATATGAATTCCATAAACTCAACACACCATTCCTGTGTGTTTTATCTCCTGCAGGAACGCCGATGCTCTGGACATATCCAGCTGCACCACTGAGAAAAAGCAAGAACTGTTTTCCCTCACATATGAAGCATTTATCCCAATCACCCGCTCAAGCACTATCTCCACTACCAGTTACCAGCTCATACAATCTTACCTACGTAAGCAAACAGACCCACATTCACAAAAAACATCATTTAAACAGCTGAAAGTTAACGTAACTTTCATTTAATTAATTAAATTTTTATTAATTTTTTTCCATTCTTGCAGCGGGTGCAGATTTTAGGTTTATCCAAGACTTAGTGTCTGCCAATATCAGTATGGACGTCCCGACCTTCACTGGGCTGCTTGAGAGTGTTATACAGGTCAGTGCTGCATGTCTGCACTTTGAATTCTGAATTTTAGACTAATTTTGAAAAAAAAAAAAAAGTTTATTTATTTATGTATTTGTGGGGTGGGGGTGGAGGGGTCTTGCATTATAGTTCCTCAATTTATTTACTTCGCTCAAACCATTAGACGGGGCTGATAAGTTGTAAAACTAAATTGTCCTTTTTTTTCTGTCAAAGAATAAAGTAAGTGTGTTTATTTGCTCATAGGATAAAATGTGTCTGCTCTGTTCTCCATAGAACCTGACTGTTAGTGATGTTAAAGGTCTTCTTGGCACCAACCTCCCACTTTTGAAGTCATATGAAAATGTGACAGTGGTGCAAACCTGGATCAGTTCACAGTTTCAGTCTGAACTTAATGGCCTGGGAGTGGGGCTTACAGGAGGCAAGCTTAGCACCACCACCACTACACCGGGTACATCATCAACAACAACATCAGGGACAACTTCAACAACAACATCAGGGACAACTTCAACAACAAAATCAACAACTGGATCCAACAGCACCACGGGTAAGTATTACAAAAGGTAGCATTGGGTTAACCCTTGTGTGGTGTTCGTATTTTTGTTACTCAGCCAGTGTTCATGGGTCTGGTGGACCCGCTAGAGTTTTGGCTTTCCAAATTAACACTATCAAACAATTTTATGTTATATTACTCAACAGATGTTTACTTCATCCCAATTACAAGACATATGAACAGCAAACATGGTTAATTTTTTCCCTTTACCTTTGTTAGATCACATTTATGAATTAATGTGCTTCTCGTTTTTCTTTTATATAAAATGTTATAAATAAATCAGTTATAATCAAGTGGAGTGAGTGGAAAGACACAACACATTTACACGTGAAAAAATAATTAATTGTTTAATTTTTCTTTTGACAAAAACTGAACACGGGTCTCACAGACCCGAACACCATACAAGGGTTAAAACATTCAAAGAACAACACCTCAGATAAAGCAGCAGTACCACATTTCAACATTTAATATAGCACACTGTCTGCACATAGAGCATTCTTGTGCAGGAAGAGTGTGGGCAGGAAGGGATTTGTGTTACAAGAAGTAAAGGAAACCAAAATAAAGCATGAAAACATGAAATGTTAAGCTAGCGGTGGACCTTCTGCTGCAGATGAAATCTTTCAATTGCTCATTTTAAGCATTTTTGTCTCATATCCTGCTGTTTTGTTATGAGTATGTAAAGATCATCTTACATCAGAAGCACTGACAAGAAAAAAAACAAAACAAAAAACACATTGGTGGTGAAAGGGAACTTGGTTTTTACTTGCGAGATCTGCAGTGTGATTAATGATGGCAGCATGAAATACAGTAAATACTTAATATTTTCATATTATAAAAAAAATCCCAAGTCAGAAAAACTAGTACAAGCGCGCACTACAGCTCTGAATACAGCAAACTTGACATATTGATAGTGTAAAGATCACAACTTGATATGAAAAATGAAGATATTAAATATTTGGTTGACTACATACCACTGTTGTGAAATGAAAATGATACATTTTTAAATGGTGTTATAGGTGCACAAACACTAAGAACCATCGGTATGTGGCTGCTAGGCAACATGATGACAACAAAAGACATGATGTAGATAAGAACCTTAAAGGGTCTGAGTTGTGCCTGTGTGCCCATTTTAGCTACTCAACTCCTGATCATGTAGGAATTTGCAGACAGACAGAGATTTGGTGTATCATAGTAAAATTTTCTTTATATATTTTTAATGATGGACAGTTGTTTTGCATACTATGAAAAATATTGTTCTACCTTTAGACAGAATTGGACCATATAAATAAATAAATTATAAAAGATGCTTAAAAAGAACTGGCAGTGATTAATCGAGCAGTGTCAGAGTTTTCTAAAAAGCCCACTTGTTGAGGCTTTTGTGTGGTTGATATGCTAGTGTTCCACAAATAATTCAGATAAAGAAATTAAATCAAGGGCAAAACGTTTTATTGGTCTCTAATGTGACTGTACGTTTCTTTCCAGGCAATGCTCCTCCAGTCCGAGACGCTGGCTTCTCTTTCTTCGCTCTTCTTGTACTCCTCATCACTTCTCAGTATGTTGTAATGTAAAGACAACTTTTCTCATGGAAGATTATTGGAATATGAATTATAAAATGGTAGATAACTGGATAAAGGCTTGAAATAATTTTTTTGTTTTAATTTATCATTAATAGAAGGAAATAATGTTAAACAGAAGGGCATTTGCTTCGTTCCTTGTAACGCTCACTATGAACAAAATAGTGCAGGTGCAATAAGACAAATTGTAAATGATGTATTTTTGATTACTAAATCTTCCTGAAACCTTTTCATGAACTATTTCTAAGGTCATATTTTTGCTTTATTTGTTTTCTATTTTTTTTATTGCTCCATTTAAATTAAGATATTTAAAAGGATGAGGACTCAACAGAAAAATGACAGGTTCGGGTGACGGGTAACAGTTTTCATGATAGCTCTTTCTTTATTCAGTCTTACTATGAAAATGTATTTGAGAGATCAATAATAAACACATTTTAAACAGCCTTAAAACAGTCATTGGAGCTCGTTATTTGGTGTCAGTGTTTTAATATTCAAAGGTTTTGAGAGAGAAATTGTTAAAAAGGTCGCCTAATTTCATTTGTACATCAACAGCAAATTAGTCACGAGATTATCAGTTATTCAATTATAAGGAAATGTTCATTAGTGTCACCTTTTGTAAGTGTGTTTTGTTTGCAAAAAGCCATGTATAAATTGATGCAGGTCTTTGAGTTATAAGCGTTTATACACCCCAAGTACAGTCTTGCAGATGGGACAGGTGTGCTTGGCATCCTTCAGGCGGTCCACACAGAATGGGATGAGGCAGCAGCCTAAAACAAAGCTGGAAATGACAGCAGCGATGGTCAGATTTATTTACTCATATCCTTTTTATTTTCTTTTTTTTTTTAACCTTCAAAGATTCATTCATTCATTCATTCATTCATTCATGTAAGGTCATATTTTGTCACCATATCAGGACATGTGGCAGCAGATATCATATTTCAGTTTTTGGACATACTTTTCAAAAAATGAAATTGTCATTTTTACATTTATCAGGTCCGACAGATTCAAAACAGCTAGGATCAATTAAAAATGTATCCCAAACAAGAGCTTGGACCTCAGTTTAAAAGCAAGTATCTGCACATGTGCATCCAGCCTTTGTGTATTTTTCAGTCAGTTTCTCGTAATTACGCTTGGTTTATTTTTAGCAGCTAGTTTAAACATGCTGGCCCACTGGTATGATGCCACAACTGTGACAAATAAAAAACATAGGGACACCAGTAAACATGCAACCATCCACAGAAGAGGAATCACCTTTACTTCGCCAGGGTTTTCAACGTGTGGTGCTCACTTTAAAAAAAAATATTGGCACACCAACAGAAGTTTAATAACTAAAACCAAACATCTCCTTCTTCTTTCTATCACTGCACCACCAGCTGTGGCACTGTGGTGCTATAGCAATGTTTTTAAGTCTTAGTGTTATTTCAGTATTGTGCACGTTGGCATAAATTTTAATATGCACATAGTGGGAGAGTAATTCTACATCACTCAGTAATTTAAGTAAAACAACATTGAAGGATTGATCCAACTTGCATATCTGCAGCTGGAGGCTGTTAGCTTAGCTTAAACAGCTAATGCTAATGTTTGCTCTCCCTATGCATTCATGTACTAAACAACTAGAGGAATTACAGGAAAGATTCCTTTAAGATGAAATGAATAGGATCAGACTAGCATCAGATTCCAGCACCAACACTGATCTAAAAAACACTGTATCTGTGAGAGCTCAACAGCTTGACAGATTAATACCATCCATTGCTAAAAACTCACTCACTCATTGCAGTGACATTAATCTTTAGTCCAGCTTTTGCATGTTTTCACTTCCAAACAGTTTCCATGAGGTTTTCCAGCCACAGTGTGAGGAGCTGTATGAAATCTGTAAAATTATTTTATTGGCATAGTGAAGCAAACAATGCTTGAACTATTCTTACCCACAGAAGAAGAGCCCTCCACAGAAAATGTAAGTGAGCAAACCAGCAGAGTAGTCCACCTTGGAGAGGACTATCTGATGGCAGTTAGGACAGGCGATCTGAACCGGGCTGTCTCCCAGTGGACCGACCGTAGCTGCAGAAAAACACGGATAGAGAGCACCAAAAGAGCAAATGCAAAAACAAATCAGGTTTTTAAATAAAATCACCAGAAATTAGAGCTCAGCTTTAAGAGTAACACGGACTACATAAATACAGACTGTATGGCCCAAACTCACCAACAGGAACTTGTGCATTTGCCATTTTTCCTGTGTACACACATTAAAAAATGTGCATTTCAAGATAAAAACTTAAGAAAATGATCAAAGCTGTCCTAAATGTAAAAAAAAAAAAGTCTGAATAACACAAAGATATTCAGTGTTAGACTTGATCTGTGAGTTAAAGCAGAGTACTTACAGTTTGGGGGGGGGGCCGGATATGTGACCACAGCGAGAAGAGGTTTCAGTGCAGAGCTGAAAGGGCTACCTTCACCGTCAGCCTCCTTTACTTAATAAGTCATGAGATCCTTGGACTCTCAGTGTGAGCCTCACTGACCCACCCTTTTTCTGACTACCATCAGTGTAGTCTTATTCCTGTGTACATGCAGTTCTGCTGCTACACCAATAACTTGGTGTAGTGTTGTAGTGTATCTGTAGTGTATCATATCTGCTGCGAAGTGCAAAAGTATGCAACGAGAGCTAAACGATGCAAAAAGATATGAAAGAGACATTTCTGAGGAGACTGCTGCACAAAACCAGTAACTGAACCCACATAATCCTGCATTCAGAGTGAAATTAGCAGCACATGTTCCCGCTGCTCCAAATTAAATGAGACGTTTAACCACTGGTGAGCACAGCAATGTTGAATTCATGCTCATACAGTGTCATATCTGTTCTGCATTTATAAAGCCACATTCTAAAACTTGTGCAACAGCATCATTTCATGCCAAATGTTCCCTTACACACGTGTGGTTGTCATTGGAAACTGAGAGAATTTAAATGCAGATTGAATGTGTAACAAGTAGGTAGATGGAGCGAAAAATAAAAAATGATCAGTTGTTGAACAGTTATTCAAGTAATGTGATCAAAACACATAAATGATCCCAGATCTGGGACAAATATGGATTTACAAACAAACCCTGGATCCCAAATTTAGAATCAGTCGTGTCCAGGTTACAGATTAACCCCAGGACACACTGACAACGGCTTTGATGAACTCAAGAGGGAGTTTAAATTAAAAAGTAAAGACTTTTAAAGACTTCAGATTTTATCAAATTAGATAACAACTAGAAATATCTCAAGAGGAAAATGCAGTAATAAATATCTTGATTGAAGCACACGAGCAGATCAACGTACCTCTAAATCATACCAGGGTCTTCACAAAGAGAAAGGTCGATCCAAATAGGGGGGAAAAAAAGTCATCAACTTTTGGGAAATTTCAGGGGAAAAAAATCCTAGGATATGAAATCCCTAAACATGTACTAAAGCTTTGGATAATAAAAGATGATGTTTGTGTAAATTTTTAGTCATTGCTGGTCAAACAAAACAATCCAGAAATAAATAATACACTAATAACAAGAACCAACACAAACTTGACTCTAAATGTTAAACAGTGGATGAAGGAGCCATAACCTGAAGTAATCACTTATTACTACAATGATCAGAAAATGAAGGGATAAAACACACGGTCCGAGGCCAGAGCCAGATATGCCACAAGTCAGTTACACTTTACATGTTGACCAGTTAACAGGGATCAGCAGTTGTCCTCCATGACCCACCACCCTGTAAGTAGAAGGCTGGTAATCACTCCAGGCTCAGAAACCCAACTCTGCCTTTAGGCTGCGGCATACAGTAAGCCCTGGCCTCCACAGAGAGACTAAATATCACCGCATCTTCATTTTACAACTCACGTAAATATATTTAAATATATTTCAATCAAGTCATCTTATATCTGGCTATATGACATACCTGCACAGAGACAAAATATCACAGCAGTGTTTGTAGTGTGAGCTATAAGTAGACCAGAGTATCAGTGCAATCAAATACACACACCTTCAATTAATCCAACCCCATCACAGCCATTGATGGAGCAAATGTGACACACAAAACCAGTCCCAAACCAGTGCCACTTCCACAACAAACATGGAGATGAATCAATGTAGTCAACATTAGTCCACCGTGTTACAGGGTCATTGCAACACTTTCTTTCATTTTTCAGCTGTTCCTCTGTAGATTTGCTGCTGTGCTTGGGATGGTTGCATGGTCTAATATAGGCAAAGCTTTAGTTGTTTGCACACATGGCCTCATAATTGCCTCTAGAATACTTTGGTATACAGAGGAGTTCATGGTCTACTGTGACTGGAAGGTGCCCAGGTCCTGTGACTCTATAATGAGCCCAAATTATCACCCTCCACCGTCGTGTTTGACAGTTGGTATGAGGTATTTGTGCTCATTGGTTTTCTGTTTCAGTGCATAATGGTCAAACATCAGCTTTTTGGTTGTTCCAGAAGTCTTGTGCCTTGTTCAGATACAAATTCACAAACCTAAATTTCTTCCAAACAAGCCGTACTTGTTCAAGGTTTCCTAATTAAGCTGTGACAGACTTTTTAAAAACTAATTTAACAATCTAAGCAGTGTTGGTCAAGTTACTTGAAAAAAGTAATCAGTAACTAATTACTGATTACTTCCCCCAAAAAGTAATCCAGTTACTTTACTGATTACTTATTTTCAAAAGTAATTAATTACTTAGTTACTTTTTAAAAACACGATTTACAACCTGAATAGGTGATAAAGCGATAGATCTTTCAGCCCAATTCTACTTTTTCTACATAATCCATCATACAAAATGTAATCCAATGGAAAAGTCTCTTTTTTTAACTTGTTTTATCAGTTTTAATCTTTTAACTTTATGCATCAAGCAAAAATTTAATTATATGCAACATTCTCTGACTGGAAGAAATTTGTTTAATATTTAAACCTATTTTCTGCACATTCCAGCACATAAAATATTTTTTGTGTTTACACTCACTCTTTCAAATAGATGCAAGTAAAACACAGCAGAAAATAAATAAAGTCAAAGACTTAGCGGTCCTGTTGCTCTATTTTCACCTGTAAAGCAGGAGTGGGGTAGGCGGAGGTTTACCCTGGTGCAGGTGTGCCGCGGTCAGTTGAAGAATCCGCGACTTTCTCTGCGAGTTTCCCATTACGTCGTTACGCACTCGGTGCTTGCTCGGACGTTTAGGGGTTTTTTTCGCTGTAAAAAGAAGTTTTCTTCCCACGCACAACGGACGCTAACGTTTTTGTCACTTTTTATGGAATCAAACTCAAAGTAAGGTCAGTACTTCCACGCTTTAAACGCTGCACGCTCATACTCTCTCCCACAATCTATATGTGATCCATTGTTGATCTGCACACAGCTGTTGTCACTAACGGCGCACTCGCTTACGTCACTGTCGTGAGACATTCTCGCAAAAAAATCACGGTTTTAGTAACGCAGTAACGCAGCGTTCCTACGGGAAAGTAACGGTAATCTAATTACCGTTTTTGCAATAGTAATCCCTTACTTTACTCGTTACTTGAAAAAAGTAATCAGATTACAGTAACGCGTTACTGCCCATCTCTGAATCTAAGCGACAGCTATAGTCTTAGATGAAGCTCCTGGGGTGTTTTTTTTTTTTTTAAAGCAGCTCCTTTTAATATTGCACTCTGACCATGGGCGAAGGTTGCTAGGATGTTCACTCTTGGGAAGACCAGTTGATTGTTTTCAATGCATAATGATGAACTACAGTTTGTTTGGAAAGTGCCTCACAACCCTCCCAGAATGCTGCAGACCGACAAACTGCCAGACGTTCAGCTTTCACAGAGGTGCTCACACCTGTTCATGATCAGTCAATCGAGCACCTTCTTATTTCCTATAGAAGCAGTAAGGATGAAGTTAGTTTCCCACACACTGCTTCTCAATCTTGGCCTAATTTGTGTTAAATAACCAATGACACAGCATCACATGTCACGTGTTGTTGTTCATCTAACATTTTAAGTCCTACAAAGGACCACATTATTTTATTTATTATCATGTCCTTACATGTAAAAGCTGGTATATCAACTGTATCTCAACACAACACTGTGCTCAAACACAAAGACGCACATCAATACAAGAAGAGTTTTAATCAGTAAAAACCAGTGCAATATTTCACATGTAAACAATTGCAGCATGTTAATAATACCTGAATAGTTACATAGAAATATTTAGTGATTCAAGGATTCTTGTAAAAATAGATCAGTTTCACAAAACAACTGTGTCCCCTCAAAAACACACACAAAAAAAAAAAAAAAAAAAAAAAAATCTTACCGATTGTTTCGAGTCCACTTAATAGCTCCAAACAAAACGAGGGGAGCATGTATTCGGCATGAAATTACTTCTCAGTTTTATTAGTAGCCCTCTCCCTGCAGCCAAATTCTGCACCACCAGTACTGCAAATGCATTTTAAAGTAAACAATGGAGGAAAAACATAGCTGTGTTTTACAGATTTCCGGAGAATGTGATGAAAGCTACTCATAAATTCCTAAAAGTCAGCCAGCACTGAACTATAAATGCCAGATAGGAATTAAGATTCAGAGCTAGAGTTGTTATTCAGTGTAAAAGTATGTACTTTAAAGGAATTCCTACCAGTATGTTTTTATCATTTGGATGTTTCATAAAACACTAAGGAAGCCAATCTGTTCATCATGTACACACACACACACACACACACACAACTTAAAAAGACAAGAACTACAAGTATGAAAATAAATCAAGCACATGAACGTGTCACATGAACTATAATGAATCAACGTGAGCCAATGCTGCTTGAATTTTAGGAATTAATGGGGAACGTTTCCAGGAGGTTAGTCATGTGACTCTCAGCTCACAGAACAGCAGGTGAGGTCATCCTGCGAGTTCTTGGAAAGTGCCCGGGGCCTTCTTTCAGAGCTTTATTTGTTTTCAAGTCCAGACTTCCTCAGTGTTTGATTACAATTTCCATTTATGCCTCCAAAGGTTAAATAGACAAATGTCACGAAGTCTGGGATTTTCACATTAAGAGTATCGTAGCCTCCCTTTCCAAGCGAGGTTTTCCATGCGAAACACTGCGTCATGGGTGAATCACTTAAACTCACACTGCAGAGTATATCACTGCTCTTCAAATGTACTAACCTTGACTTTTGGATACAGGTGAGTCCAGCCCATCCATGGTGTTTTTATTTTCTAATAAAGAAACTATCTTGCACTTGGTTTACAGTAATTAAAGGAAGCTTCATTTGGCTGCAGGGTGTGTCCAGATTCTCTTGTTATTCCTTCACAATTAACAGTCGATAAATCGTTGCAAGCGCAGCATCACAGCTGGGAAGTCTGAATTGGAAAGTTGGCACGGAACTTTAAAGAGTTGGACGAGCTCATATGATCACAGCACAAGAGCTGCGTGTTTTTTCTTTCACTGCCTTCCCACCTGTCCTACTCATCTCTCCTTATATTCCTGCCTGACTGAGTAGCAGTGTTTCTTGGAAGATGGTAACTGTCATCTTTTCTTTATTTTTGCTTGTGAGAAAATTTACTGGGCGTTGCCTTTTGCAGTTGAAGAGGATCTCCTCATGTCAGCCTTATTTTCTCACAGAAAATAAGGCTTGTGCTCAGGAGGCCAAATGGCTTCTTTTCTGCTCCGTCTCCTTCCTCTCCACCTCCGCCTGCTCTCTAGCCTCTGTCCTGTCCGTCAGCGCCCTCAGCAGGACCCTGAGCAGTGTGTTCTCATTCAGCAGATTTTCAGAGGCGTCTGCCAGCTCCTGCAGCCGCCTCACTGCCTCACTGAGCTGCCGGCTTTTCTCCCGGTGCTGCTCCTCTAAGCTCCGCCTCTCTCGCTGCAGCTCGGCGTTCTCGGTCTCTAAGGCGCGGGCCTCAAATTTCAGTCGTCGGTTGTCGCGCCATAGTTGCGCGAGCTGTTGGGAGAGACGCTCCCGGGCGTGATGCAGGGCTTGAACTTCACGCTGGAGTGTCAGAAACTCTGACCCAAGGAAAGGACTGTGTCCGGGACCTTCTGTCTCAACAGACGGTTTGTGCACGTGATGCAAAGAGCCAGAGTGCTGCAGGATGAAGCGGAGGAGGTTGGGTAATGTGATGGGAAGGTTGTCAGGAAACTTCACACTAAGGTGTTTTCTTAAAGGGAAGAGAAAAAGAACACAAGAGTGAAAAATATTCTGCTGAAATTCACTGATGAAAGTTTTTTTGTTGTTTTTTTAACTGAGGTGTCAAGAAGGACTAAGAATCAGACGGGTATTCGAATAGGTCTTAAACACATGAATGAAGCCACTTGAAAACTGTTTAAAAAATAAAGGCAACTTATTGCAATGTAATAATTACTAGCTACATTAACAGAGAGATATACAAAGTAAAGCAGCTAGCTTGTAGTAGGCCATAAACCTAATCACTCATATGTGGACTATGAGTAGGACTTCAATAAAATGTATTGTTTTACATTTAGAATGAACACTTTGGCATTTCAGTGTGTATCATTTAAGTTATATCATTATAGTTATATCATTTGCAGTTATAGTTCCACTGAGGCAGTGTGAAGATCAAAGCTATTTTTTGCAGAAATATGAGATCCAACCCCCCCCCTTTGGCCACACCCTTGTTTGTGCACACCTCTCTGCATTTATTCTTACCTGTATCTGGGAAAGAAAAGAATAGAGGGAACATGATCCACCATGAACTCCCAGGGGAGGTCATTACGTGCAACATTCACCCTATGCAAAGGAAAAACAAAGCTGGCATCACTTTTTTTCTTCAAAAATGAGGGTCACACTGCTAATATTCTCTCGTATGCTTTACACGCTTAATAAAATAAATATATGGGAAACTGTGTTTAGGTCACCCGGTTTCCGAAATGTTTTTAAAATATGCTTTTTGTTACATTTCAAAACACAGACACCTCAATCACACATTATACACTAACCTGACACTTTATTAGGTACACCTTGCCTTAATTCTTACTCAGGCTATCATCAAAGGTACACTTACAACCGGGACTGCAGAAAAACTGTAAACAGACAGTAACTGTACCTGGCCACTGTGATGGTGCCATTTCCCTGTAATAATCGGGCCAGCTGGATGATGATGTGGTTGAGAACAGAGCAAAATCCACACCACTGAGTGTAGTAGAACAGCAGCACGTCCTACAACACACAAATTGGCATCATCAGGAGTTTAGCAAACTACCTGCTTCCATAAGTAGAGCACGCAGCATACTAAGCCTCCATTAAAATCACGCTTGCAGCTGTAAAAAGCAGCTGTTTTTATATCTTAATGTTTTTATTTTTAGGTGCATGGAAGTTGCTTTACAGAAATTCTTAAAAGAAATTCAGAATTTCACAAACTGCCTTGATTTGCTGAGGGTGTTTCAGAACGCTTAGTCACCTTTTGAAGGTCCATGACGGAGGGCAGGAAGGAGGAAGTGGTCAACTCTGTGATGAGGAAGCGTGGAGGTGACTGCGTGTGTTCGTCTGAACGCGACGCCTCCTCTTCAGCTCCCTTCCTGTCCTCCTCTCCAACCAAGTGTCTCTGCAAGAGGCTGTAGGGAGCGCTGAAGTTCCTAATGAAGGCCTCTGCAATGAAACGCACAACATGAACACAGAATTAGCCCAAGAATACGATTCAAATGGTAAATGGCCTGTATTTGTATAGCGCTTTACTAGTCCCTAAGGACCCCAAAGCGCTCTACACATTCAGTCATCCACCCATTCACACACACTGGTGATGGCAAGCTACATTGTAGCCACAGCCACCCTGGGGAGCACTGACAGAGACGAGAATCTTCACTAGAAGAAGCTGGAACTCGACCCAGCGCCCTCATTATACTTTTGATTTATCAGCCACTAAATGTTTGACTTTTGGTCATTAACCTGACTCGTCATGTGAGATAATATGACTTGTGATTTCTTTCAGTATTTCTAAATATCGGACATTGTAGTGAGAGACCATCACAATGTCATCAAGGACAGATGACTCATCTTTACAAAGGCCCTAAAGACATTTGTAGAAACCAGTGACTGACTGATATATTGGAGGTGGATATTTTCGGCTAATATTAACTATTTGCCAGTGTCAGTATCACCATTTATGACGGCCAATGAATGAAAATTAAAAACGCCAAGGAGACTTGAACAACAACCTTTAACCATGTTATGAGTGTTGCCACTGTATAGTTTGTCTAACAGAGGGCACTCCTCCAGCAGCTTCCCTGTTGGCAACACACACAACAACCAGGTGACCTGAAAACAATTCAATTTTATTTATATGGTGCTAAATAGCAACAGTCACCTCAAGGCGCTTTTTATTGCAAGGTAAAGACCCTACAATAACACAGAGAAAACCCCAACAATCAGACAACTCACTTTCAGCAAGCAATTGGCGATAGTGGGAGACTAATAATAACTAAAGATTGAATGCAGAGTGTTGTATAAACACATAGTGGGTGGAAAAGGGTGAGTAAAGAAAAACCACTCAGTGCATCATGGGAAACCCCCAGCAGCCCAGACCTGTTTGAGAAAAACTAAGGGAGGATTCAGGGTCACCTGATCAAGCTCTAACTACGTGCTTTATCAACAATCAAAGTTTTAAACCTTTTTAATCTTAAAATTAGAGAAGGTGTCTGTTGGCTGGATCCAAAGTGTGAGCTGGTTCCACAAAGAAGGGTCCAAAAACTGAAGGCTTTGCCTCCCATTCTACTTTTAAATATGCTGGGAACCACAAGTAACCCACTAGTCTGAGACCGAAGAGACACAATATGGGATTTTGAAATCACCAGATGTCTTAAAAATTGCAAATCGTTTGAGCTCCCAGCTTTTGGGACAAAACAAAACCAGCCCGTGTTACATGAATGAAAGTTGTCCATGTCTTACCCAGAGACTCTGTTAGTGTGGCTGCTGGAGTGTGCTGAAGAACATAATGAACTTCATCCTTCAGGTTCACAATAGCAGCAAACGACCCGTCACCGCCCCTATCATCTTCTTGCTCAAGAGAAGCACTTCTGTTGCCTGATGCTCCGAGCCTGACTGCCAGAGGCCAGTTCAGGGCAACATCCAGCACATAAAACCTGAGTGTCCTGTTGGTTTGACAACGGAGCCCGGTGATGCCGTCTCCCTCCGGCTGAGGGACAGAGAATGGAGGGATCAAGGAAGGAGGAACGCTTTGCATCTCTGACTCCTCTTTGGCTTGTGATTCATTGAGCTGAGGTTCTACTTTTCTGCAGCAGGCACTGTATTGACTAAATGGGCTGTAGCTGTCCAGAAAATTGCTACAGCCCATTGCGGTTGCACTATTAATGGACACGGGGGAAGGGAGCTGGTGGAGGCAGCAGCGTCTGAGATAAGTCTGAAATATGTCTCCTCCCTGGATCGAGGGAGGGAACAAGCAGTGCAGAGGTGAGGTGGCGAAGCTTGGCCACGAAAGGCTGAGGCACACCTCACACACGCTTGTGCTCGACTGTGGGAGGACAACTGACTGGCAGCACAGTGAGTGGAAGGAGAAACTTTTGTCCCAGCTGGAGTGGTGGCTGTTGTCACAGGAGTGGTAACGCACAGCAATGTCTGCAACCTAGAAAAACAAAATGGGTTAAAAATGATTTAATCTGCAGAACTTAAGGAGAATAATACAGTGTTTAACAACACAATTACAGAATATACACATACAAAATAAGTTCTAATATAAAAAGCACCTGAGGAGGAGGAAGATGACGCTTAGACCCAGTAATATAGCCATCACCATGTCACCCTTTCAAACTCCCTCAAATCCTTATGCTTGCCCGTTTTCCTGCTTCTTACACTGTAAAAGTTCCCTTTACCAGCATACTTAATATTTATTTAAGTCTCAGTTACACGATCAGAGAAACTGACCTTTTTTATTTTTTTAATACAGGGCAGCTAAATGAAGATGGGTAAGCCAGATGACATTAGCTCAGTGTATAATAATAGTATAGCTGCAAATCAAATCTGTAAGAGAATAAAGCGTTTCTGTCATTTCGAAAATGATATTCGTCTGATTTTTTCTGCTCACCTGCTGTAGCGCAGGGCTGGGCTGTGATCCCAGAGGATCGTGCGGCACAAACAGCAGCAGTGCAGGGCCTTTAGTCAGCTCCTCTTCTAACAGGCGAGACTTCGTTCCCGGGGGCTGCAGCCACTGGAGGACCGTCTCACGGTTTTCAAACACCCATCTACAAATGGCCTCAGACGTAAAGTTAAGGTCGTTCCTGGGAAAAATCTTAAACAACAGATGAATAAACATACAGCATCATATACATCCACAGTTTTAAAGTCATTAGTGTTTAATTGCTTTTTCTAGAAGAACCACATCTACAACATGCGTTGACGCTGCTTACCAAAGAGGAGTTAAATCTTCTGTGGAGAAAAACCGTTTCATCCTCTGTTAGTGAGATGGCTCCTGCCACCTGCTTGTTGGTCACGACCCCAAAACGTACAACACCACGGAAATCTGCACCATAAAAAAGAGAAACTTGTGACTTCAACCATTTATGTTCCCTTTATCGTAAAATGCACATTTAGGTTCTCTCTGCTTCAACCACTGCTATCTTTTCGTCAACAGCAGCCTCTCCTCGAATTCTAATCCCATGCTTGACAAGCCAAAATGTTTATCATGTTAACAATCAGCCTTGAAGCTGCGTGATTACTTCTTACCCCTTTTTAGGACCTGCAGGGCAGAGGACAGAAATGTGATGTATCCTGGCGGCTGGGGGGAAGAGTTAAACTGGAAGAAACCCACCACTCGAGGCTAGAAACGCACAAGACGCAGATCATTACAGTTGGCTGCACTCTGTGGGTGATTCAGTGACAGAAGTGTAAAGCTCAAATATACCTCGTGATAGGAGAGGAACTCTTCAACATGACCTCTTGATGGGAGGTAAGTCAGTGGTGTGATGACTCTGAGTACAAAACTTTCTATGTATGGAGCCAAAAATGGGCCTCTATACTCTATTGGCCCAAACCTGTGGAAAACACAGATGCTAATAAATATCAACAAATCATAATTAAATTACAATTAAGAAACAAAACATTCAAAGTGTTTCCCACAGTTTTGCATTAAAATACATCTTTAGCCTCTCTAAATATGCGCGTCTATGACTGAAGTTGTGTATGAACAGCCAAATACAAAAGTAAATAAAAAATTATTTCATTCATAAAAGAACAAACAAAACATACTGATTGCTTAAACTCATACATTTCATCATTTCTGGATATGAGCTCATTTTGAATTTGATGGCAGCAACAGGTCTCATATCAGTAGGGTGGGGTCAACAAGAAGCTGGAAAAGTAAGTGGTACTAAAAAAAACCCAACAACAACAAAAACATTTTGTAATCTGCTTAATTTACAATAGGTCAGCAACATGATTAGGTATAAAAGAAAGAGCATCTTCAAGAGGCAGAGTTACTATTCCTATGCTATTAAAACTTCTGAAATAATTTTTCTCTACATAATACTGTGAAGACTTTCACTAGCCCACCCTCTGCGGGACATGATACCCTCAAAAAATTCAAAGAATCTGGAGAAATCTCTGTGTGCAAGCGAAACAGCCAAAAATCAATATTGGATGCTCATGATCTTCAGGCCCTTGGGAGGCGCTGCATTAAAAACAGGCATGACTCTGTCAAAGAAATCACTTCATGGGCTCAGGAGCACTTCCAGAAATCACCGTCTGTGAACACAGTTCGGCTGTGCCATCTATCATGCAAAGAAGAAGCCACGTGCAAACATCGTCTTCTCTGAGCTAACGTTTATGGGGCTTCCCAATTCGTCTTTGTCTGCTAAAGCTATTGAAAGCAAATTCCCACCATAAGTGAAGAGAAGCCCACCGTCTCACCTTCTATAAAACAGATGGATGACGGGGTAGTGATAGAAGCGGTTTTGCCTCCTGCATTTCCCCTGACTCCACCAGCAGTTAACAGCCACAAACTGCACCTGTGTTTGTGTGTTTGAAGAGACACATTAAGAAACAAAGATAAGCAAAATTATGTGTAGACTACACACAAAATGGTGTAAAATCACACACTGTAATGACTCATGTACTTAACAAACACGCCCATAACAAGTCGACTATGAATTTGCATTTGAGAGAGAGACACAAGCTAAAAATGTGTGAGTGTGTATTTAAGCTGAAGGGAACAGATTTTATTAACTCAACTATGTCAGAGTCACTCTTTACTGCAGTCTGTCAAGCTGCTCCTATAAACTCTTCCCAACACTTTGCGTCACAAGCGATAACATAACACGTGTCCACGTAAGAACAATCCCCAGCTTCCTTAGTCTTTGCCCAGTAAAGCACATCTAAATATTTGATGTTTAAACAATCCTGAGTGGTGGAGGTTCCGTTCACTTGTACCTGTTTGGCCAGCTTCTTAGCGACCTGCTGCACTTCCTGTCGCGCAGCCATAGAGTGAGCACACCATGGTGCATAGAAGAAAATAAAGGACACCTCGGCCACACTCCTGAGACGCTCCACCTGTGAAGAAAAAAACCCTTTCAATCTCACAGAGCACCACAAGTTTGATGACAACAATGCCAAAACATTTAACTGGAGCTTTAGAAACCCTCTTAGCTCTTTCCATTTGTTCTCTTTTACAATTTGAGCAAATGAAGTATCAAACAAAGGAAAATACAGTGAATGCCATCAAGTCTGAATCCTTGAATTTCACCTGGTCAAGCTGACCCAAGTAGAGATCCACCACCGGGGCGTCAGGAGAAAAGAAACGCACCGGAGGCCGAGCTGCTGCCACCACATTCTTAGCACGACTACAGAAATAAATGAGAAGAGTAACGCTGAGGGGTGCAAAGAGATCACGGTCACATAATAAGATCTTGCCAGGTTATTAAATCCATAAGCTATAACTCTGTGTCACTTCCGCGAGATTCGCTGATCATGGCAGTGTGTCCATCATCGGTTGATGTTAATGCTACAGGTAACCTCCAGCCTTGCATACTACTCTGAGTTGCACATATTGGAATATGCATGTGTTAAATTTGGAAAATGAGAGTAGAAGCAATGGTATTTGGAAATGGAGGGTATGCTAAGCTGCATACGAGGGGAGGAAAGGCTATATGTTTGCGTCCACAGAAAGCAATGTGAAAAACTGTGCTGTGTTAAACATTCTGCCTCCCCCAGAGGCTATGCAAAAATGTCTCTACATCGTTACAGGGGGAACAAAATTACCTCAACATGACGAGAAGCAGAATTTGCCTGGTATAATTTGCGTGGAGTCGGTTTCAAGTTTCAGTCTTTGTGGCAATTATCGTCTCAGCTGGGTTTTCGAGAGGACGACTGAGTAACTGCTTAGCCAACAAGTCAATCGTTCAGCAACAGTTGCTACACTTTAGGATTTCAGCACTTTCATTCACCATAACTGAATGACAAGTGGTATAAGCTTTGAAGAACCGTAAAGTTGCAGAGGCCAAAGCTGCAAGATGATGACAGCACAGTGTGTCAGGGCTGTAACCAGATATTACTATTTAAACATTAATAATCTCATTATGATCTCCCTGCAATCTTTTCTGGGTTTTATCTGAAAAAAACTGTAAAAAACGCCCAACCTTTCCTTGAAAGATTAAGGCGATGTCCTTAGTTAATCTCATTGTCTACAGTACACGTCAGTTTTAGATTAGCAGCACTAATAATGAAGCCCTTGTTTGTAACTACTGTAGACAACGAGTACCGGTAGTTCATTCACGACCTAACACTGTTACAACGCCGCTCTTCGCTCACCTAAATAACCATTACACTTAGCTTTTGTGTTTTAAGGGGTCTCGTGTTAGCCTGGTCACACACAAGCAAGCTCACGCTGTCAGAGGATAAACAGAAGCTCGTGCCCATGTTTACCTGCACGTGAACTTGACGGCCAAAACGAGCAGGACGCCGAGCACGATAGCCCCGCAGAGCAGATCCGGTCTCCGGGCCATCAGAAACAGCACCTGCCGGAGAGACTGCCGCACCCGGCGCAACATTACAGCTTGTCGTCACCTCTCCGTCCCATTTATACGCTCCGACTACCGCTCAAAGCATCCATTTGCCTAACAGGGGGGGAGGAGGGATGGGTGAGGAAGACTGGTTCGACGGAAACAGCTAACCTGGATTGGACATGAGCAGTGCTGGTGTGTAAGGTGTTCAAATACGGTCAAGCCAACCTTTCTTCCACACGTAGACTTTTCACTTCCGCAACAACGACACCAGGGGCAGGAAGTAAAGTCCTCTACGCGAATAAAACGCGTAGTGCGTTTAACGCTTTAATGGCTGTCTGAGTTTAAAAAATGTCACTGACAGTTAGCTTACCGGATGTTAAAGAGGAACGACACTAGTCGTAATAATTACAATATTTAAACTGGTCCTCGGTAAGCGATTTTATTCCTTTTTCCGTATGGCGCAAAACGCGCTCTTTTCAGACCGTCCCTACGTTGTTATGGCGACAGCCGCTGCTGCTACGACAGTCGTAAAACACTAGGGGGAGGTTGTTTTAAAAATGAATCGATAAAACTTTATTTAAAAGCCGCTTATTTACATCTAGAGTAGAATTATTTAAAGTGCCCGGGACTTGTGACTGATTGTGAGACTGGAGAAAACTCTTTTCTCGTGTTACTTTGCTTCGTATAAAAATCACTGCATCAAACTGATTCAGTTTATCCTAAAATAACTGAACACTGGGTGTGTAAGATTTTTTTATTATTATTAAAAAGGGTCTCTATAGGTAAAACATCACCTGATAAAATGGGTTGTCTTAGTGTTAGAGCTACTTTCTTATTAATCTTCTGTTATTCATCCAAATATAGTAATGTTGTAAATTGTTAGACCATTTTATTACCTTATCACTACTTACTCTTAATTATTGTGATATAATTTTAAGACATTGGCTGTCTTAAATGTCAAATGCTCATAATACAACTAAAACAATACATGTAGGACATGAGCATCACAGTTCTCAGGCTGTGAGCTTGACATTTCATATCTGGGATATCATGTCTGTAGAATATCCGGATCTAGAGTACTGTGCAAATATCTCAAGCTACTACTCTTTTCATTATATTTTGCTATGAAAATGGGAAATGGGGACAGTGATTTATTGAAACATCCAGTATATAAAACAAAAACAGAGTTTGTACATTTCTAATGTATTTGGGAAAAAAAAAAATACTTGATTTTTTTAATGCAATGTCTCTTGTTCTGTTCTGGCTAAAGATGATCCCACACTCCTTCAATAATGTTGAGGTCTGGGCTCTGGGAAGACGAATAGAGGACTGATGGTGTTCCATTGTGTGTTTTTCCATCCATGTATGCTTTTACTGCACTGGAGCTGTGTGTGGGATCATTGTCACCATGAAAAATTAAGGCATTGCTAAGATCTGTTCCAGATGGAATTCATGGTGGATCAAAACGGTAGTTTTCTGTGTTCATAATTCACTCAATTTTGACAAGAACCCGAGTACCAAGGACTGAAATGCAGCTCCAAACCACGACAGAGGCCCCACCATGTGTTACTGATGGCTGTGCACACTTGCTTTATTTTATTAGGCCTGCCACTTCCTGTTTTTGTCTTCCACTTGTCCAGTTTTATCCAATAGCACACCACGCTAAGACATGCCAGGTATTTAACTAGTAGCTCTTTGATTCAGTTAGTTGGTGCACATGTACAACTCTCCTCCATATCTCTCAAAGTGGTGGGGGGTTTTTTTAAGCATTTTCACAGATTCAAGCAAAGAAAGGACAATAAAGTACACTTTTTTTTTTTTTAGGCAGGAAGTAACAAAGTGCCAAAACATACATACACAATTTAAGTTGTCTCTTATTCGTAGATGAAACACCGATTCATCATGCATTTTAAATCCTTGAATGGTTCCATAAGTGGTTTAACAAAAAAATCTATTCTCCTCTGAAAATGATCAGGTACATTGACTGGACTGCAAATAGGTTTTTGAAAGATCTTCAGAAAGCCTGGTGAATGACTGCTTAAGGTTCCTTTAAAAATTACAAGAAGGTGCCTTGAAAGCAAAATAAAGACATGAGTGAATCAAAACTTTTGCACAGTACTGTAAATTCAGTTATACCCCTAATGTTAATGGCAATTTATGGAATTATTTTTTAGCTTTTACTCACTGACTTTTGATAGTTGATTGTTGATACAGTCTGTGTCTGTATCAGAACTTTGATGACTAAAACAAAAGAAAATGAAAAAAAAACAAAAAGCACTGAACTCAAAAACATCAAATATATATATATTTATTTTTGAAAAGTGAATTTCTTCACTTTGATATATTCTGTTCATGTGATGAGAAATATTTTAAAGATTTTTAGATATTTGATTAACTTATGTCTCATGAAAATCATAAACCTGTATCTCACATTATTAAAATATTTCCTAAGGTAGCAAAGGATTTTAAATCCAGACCCTTTAAAAATGTTGTTTTTGCACTCAGCAGTTGGTTGAGGCTCCTTTCAGAATGAATCAGAATTTAGAAAGTAATTTATATGTGGCTATGAATACTCCTTCAGATTTAATATAAATCTTTATTTTGTAAAGTCTCATTCAAAAACAAAAGAGCACAAATAATAATAATAATAATGATCATCACAGTGTAAGATTTTTCAGTGCAAATGAACATGTTTAAAAAAAACAAAAAGACCAAAACCTAATTTCTGATTAGCTTGGTCCACCCATGAAATGGAAACGTATACTGTAATTTACTTGAACAATTTTTAAAAAGTGCAACAATATTTCTCAGCAGTGTGAGAAAATAAAAAAAAATTTTTAAATTATATATATATATATATATATATATATATATATATATATATATATATATATATAAAAATAAAAGTATTTAAAAAAAAGTAGAAGTTTTATGCATTACCTAAACAAATTAAAAAAAAAAAACCCCCACAATATTAAAAATTTCAAATCTAAGCATCACAAATCTTGTGAAGGCAAATGCTGGAACCGCTGGAACAAACTTCATAGAACATTTGCTCCGCCAGACTGTCTCTGTTTGGCCTCTCAGGCTTTAGCACCCTTCCAAGTGCAAACAGACTGCTGAACTACAAACCTCATTTGACACTCAGTCATGTTACCAAACATCACAGAATGACTTCTCACACAGCTCTGTAGATCACCGAGATCACACTCACAGTGAAAATGTAAGAAATGCATCAGAATTTATGCAGAGTTATAAATACTGCTTCAGATTCTGGATGGATAATCCTGAAGCAGCCTGAGGTTATTTTTTCTAAAAGTAGATCACATGCCAGAATGATATTTGATAACAGATGCAAAAACATGTATCCTTACATGTCTTGTTCCAACTTCACTGACTCTGTATAAGCATAAAAACGCATGTTCTATTGGACTACAGCTATGCCAGGGCTACAAAGCTTTCAGCACCGCGTCGTGATTCCAATCTTTACTCCAGCGAGTGTTTAAACACATCTTATCATTCCGCTTACCACCCCGGACCGTTTAGGCATCGTGGTTTGTGAATGCACTGTTGATGCAAAAAGATCACTGCAGTGATCAACCCAAGTCAGACACTATTACTCGTTTCTCACCTCATTGGTTTTGTTTCTCCTTCAGTAGTCCGGTGCCTCTATTGTTCAACACAGCAACCATCCGGCAGACAGAGAAACAAATCAAGAACCAAGATAAATTCCCCAACAGTAGATAAAGCCAGTCTTCAATGTGTTTACTGCTAAAAATAAACACTTCTCGTCAACTCATTTGCTGCAAATTGTCCCACATCAATTGGGCACCTCCTCATCCAGTGCAGTCTGTCACAATGCTACTGTTTCAGGGTGCATTAACTGCTGCACCACCAGGTCGATATTAATGATGGGACTGAAGTAGAGTGCCCAGTAGAAGAGGCAGTTGCACACAAACTGCGGGACAAAAGGCCAAAGAAGGGCAAATGCAAATCCCTGAGTTAGCATTTTCCACAAGTGGCTCCACATCATTTGTGGAAGAGTCCTACAAAGAGAGGGAGAAAACAAGTGTCATAAAACCACTACAACCACTACTCAACAGCTATCAACCCAAATCTTGTAATCTTGTACAGGAGATACCAAACCCAGTTCCAGGTAATACACAACAGACAGTATAAAACATGGTCGTAGTCTCTAGGTCTGAAATGTAAAGCCAAGGCAGAAGTGCCAGAAATCTTTCTAACAGCCAGCAGGGGGCGACTCTGGATACAAAAAGACTTGCAGTTGCAGAGAAGTCTGTGCTCCATTTGTTTTCATTAGCCAATAGGTGATGTCACCATCACTACATCCACCTTTTATACAGTCTATGCATACAATGCAGAAAACATGACATTAATACAATGGTTTGCACAGAACTGCAAGGAATGTTTAAGCAGGTCCTGTTTTCCTTCAGCGGGACGTACTGCATGTCTTTCAGATAAGATAATATTTACACTTAACCAGCATTTTAGGATAAAAAATTGACTTTTGGAGCTGTTGAGTTTCAGTGTTTATATTCCTGACTGGCAGGAATATTCACTTACTGTGTCTGGGTCTTATCAGTCACTGAAATTAAGTAAAAACATTTTTATCTAGGTTCACATACCCATTAATTTGGCACCAGAAAATGTTCCCAGTAACACTAATATGCCTTGTGATGACCAAAGTATGCCACGTGACCACAGTATACACATCTTTTATTTCGACTATCACTTCCTTCTCAAAGTTAGTATAACAAAAGTACAATCTGATCTTACTTTTTGCCATAACACACATACCCAATGACCGTAACTGTATTAATAACTAGATTTTTATTAGAGAGTATTTATCAAACTGTGCAGAACTAATCTGGATTGAGACAGTTTAAAATCTATTTCAGTGTTTGCATAATAAAAACAAGAGCAAAAAGAAAATCACCCAACCCTCACACTGCATTTACCTGATCCTGGCTCTCATCCACAGTCTCCATAGGGCGCAACCTTCAAGGACAGACAGCAGCATGGCATTAACAATGATGAAACGGGATGTCCAGTAGTGAACGGCCAACCAGTCCCAAGCAAACTCTGCGATCAGCTGGTATGGAAGCAGACAGTATTTCACAAGAAACTCTGCCCATTGTTGCCAGCTGGGATCCACCTAAATTAATAAGTTTTAAAAGAGAAAAAAAAAAAAGGGGGGGGGGGGGGGGGGGCAGGAACAAAACATGTAACCTGAATAGTCATATGCATTGCACATGGAGCAAAGTTTAAAGAAGTCTAAACATCTTCATGCTCACAGCGCCGTCTTCATCTAATTACCAGAAGCAATCACAGTATGTAATTTACAAAAGGTCCCCAGTGTTTTCATTTTCAGCTCGTTACAGTATATTACAATTTATTATTCATGTGTCATTTCAGTGGGAAGTTTGTCTGGTTTGTACCTGTGAGCTGACAAAACTGC